GTATAGTGATATCATATAAATAAATTTTATACATACATATGTTTGTGTCCTCTCAAGTAGCAATATACATATAAAAAGGAGAGACACAGAAAAAACTAAAATAGTGTAAATCTGTATAAAAAATTAATTTAGAATATGACAAATATTGCACTCACAAAGATAGAGCAGAAAAAGCCTGCTCTAACTATAACAGCTTCTTCAAATATTCCCTTCCAAACAAGGACTGCACGGATGAAGTATTCCAATAGATATATCTATTGCCCAACACTGCACAAGTATTTCACCTTCCTCTATACTCAGTATGCGATGCAAAGTAGTCGGCTGTTCACAGATAGGGGTTTGGACTGTTCCCTCCGTTCCTAGCCGAGAGCTGAAGAAGGAAGGGGTAAAGAATTACAAGGCAAATAACAGCATGTCAGAGGTGAGGTATGATTAATGGATAACATGCCTCTGTCTCAATAAGCTAGTACAAGTAATGTATGGAAGAACCAAACAGATTAAGGACAGAGAACGAGTTGGGCTATGGAGGCAAGGGAACTGAGAAGAGCAATTGTTATGAGAGAAGCATCACACAGAAAGATGATTTTTTTCTAAATAGATGAATTTTCAATGACTTAAAGGAGCACTATAGGCACCCAGACCACTTCAGCTCAATGAAGTGGTCTGGGTGCCAGGTCCCCCAGGTTTTAACCCTGCAGCTGTAAACATAGCTCTTTCAGAGAAACTGCTATGTTTACACTGAGGGTTTATCCGGCCTCTAGTACAGGCAAAGGCAACCTTTGGCATTCCAGATGTTTTGGACTACACCTCCCATGATGCTTTGTCAGCATTATGGTTGTAAGAGCATTATGGGGCATGTAGTCCACAACATCTGCAATGCCAAAGGTTGCCTATCACTGCTCTAGTGGCTGTCTCACTGACAGCCACTAGAGGGGCATCCACGATTCTCACTGAGAAAATCACAGTTTCTCAATGCTTTCCTATGGACTGTTTGAAATGTGCGCGCAGCTCTTGCCGCGCATGCGCATTCGGCGCCGACGTCGGCAGGAGGAGGAGAGTTCCCCAGCGCTGAGGGAGCCCGGAGCTGGAGAAAGGTAAGTGGTTAAGGGGTTTTAACCCCTTCAGCCCAGCGGGAGGGGGGCCATGAGTGAGGGGGGACCCTAAGGACTACATAGTGCCAAGAAAAAAAAAAAGTTTGTTTTCCTGGCACTAAAGTGGTCCTTTAAAGAACTGGAGGATAGGGGACAATCTGATGGCATGGGTAGGTAATTTTAAAGGAACCTAGCAGCTCTTGAAAAATTCTGCAGATCAGAGTTGGCAGTGTGGTTTAGAACAGATGTCAGTAGAAGGAGTGTTGAGTTGAGTGAAGATAAAATGTATTGAGGAACGTTAGTGAGGGCTTTGTAGGTTAGTGTTAGCAGTTTGATCCTGAATTGTACAGAAGATGAACAAATACCAAGCTGACACAGCCCCTTTTTAAATAGCCTCCCCTCTTTTCCAGACAGGCTAGACCAAGCATGTCAAACTCATGGGCCGCATGTGACCCACAATGGACCTCTTAGTGGCCTGGCGAGCCGCGAGTAAAATGCTTCGGGTTAAAGCAGAGTAGGCACCTGCTTTCCTCACATTGCAGGTGCCTACTCTGCTAAACCTTACCCGGCCAGGGAGGAGAGGTCACTGGCAGCAGCGAGGGAGTTCAGTCTTCCTGCTCCTCACTGCTCACGCGCGCGCTCTCTGAAGTGATGCCAGGTGCTGGAATATGACGTCATATTCCGGCACCCGGCATCACTAAACTGCGCGAGAGGGAGCAGGAAGACTGAGCTCCAGATAGAAGATCCCCACTGGACACCAGGGAATGATGTGAGTGTGTGCAAGAATGTGTAAATGTGTGTGTGTGTGTCAATGAGTGTGTGTGTCTGTCTGTCTGTCAGTGTGTGTCTGTTTTTGTGTAGTTTGTTAGTCAGTGTTTGTGTGTGTCTGTGTATGTCTGTCAGTGAGTGTGTTTGCCAGTGAGTCTGTCTGTGTGTTTGTCAGTCAGTTTGTGTGAGTGTGTCTGTGTGTGTGTGTCAGTCAGTGTTGCGATGGCCCCGGCTGGACATTGGAGTACCTGGAGGTGCACGGAAGCACGCAACATCACATTCCGACGTGCTCCACCTTCACAGGGTTTCAAGAAGTAGCAGGAGGATGCACTTTGGCACAGGGTGCGGATGGTGCCGTTTGGGGTATACCAGAGGCCGGACTCCGGAGTCGCACATTGGCAGCACTTCAATACCTCCCACTGTACAGATGTATGCCTTAAAGGACCACTATAGTGCCAGGAAAACAAACTCGTTTTCCAGGCACTATAGTGTTAAAAGGTCCCCCCCCCCCACCCTCACGGCCCCCTCCTGCCGGGCTCTAGGGGGAGGAAGGGGTTAAAAGCTTACCTTTCTGCAGCGCTGGGCTCAATCAGCGCTGGGGACTCTCCTCCCTCTTATGACGACATCCGCCGAATGCACGCGCGCGCATTCAATCAGTCCACAGGAAAGCATTTCTCAATGCTTTCCTATGGACGGCAGCGTCTTCTCACTGTGAAAAGCACAGTGAGAAGCGCGGAAGCGCCTCTCAGTAAGACCACCACTAAAGGTTGGATTAACCCATATGTAAATGTAGCAGTTTCTCTGAAACTGTTATGTTTACAGCTGCAGGGTTAACCCTAGATGAACCTGGCACCCAGACCACTTCATTGAGCTGAAGTGGTCTGGGTGCCTATAGTGGTCCTTTAATGCTCTTAAATCTACTGAACAAGTTATACTGTGTCACAGCAATTACAGTGCTAGGGTAGGAGCCGCTTACATTTGTTTCCAGCCTGCAATGTATGTGGACGACAGACAATTATTTCACCAAATTAACATTAGGTCATGTGTGCTGGTGGTAAAACTAGACCCTGACACAAAAGTTCACATTGTTTTATATAGACAGTGATCCAAGCAGAAATTCTGCATATGCCGATTGCTTGCAGCATGACCACTTTTAAAAGCAAAAGTAGCCGTGGAGGTTGGAGTAACCATGTAAATTACAGTCATGTAAATTCATTTAGTACAAGAGTATTAAGCACCTCTTCTAAAGTTTCCGAGTTGTACACAGCAGAAAGAGGAAGTGAGGTTTCATAGGGAAGCACTAAAATATAGGAAATAGGTAGCTGCTGTGTTCCATCATGTACAGCTCCCTTCACATACAGTGTTCTGTCAGAAGATCTTTCCCCCTGGATGCCATTTGGTCATACATTAGGGGGCAGTAGCCCTAATTTGTTATACATACACACATAAAGAGTGTGTGTGTACACATAGTGCATGTCTATGCAATTTCTCTGTATGTGTGTCAGTGTGGGTAGCACTGTGAGAAAAAGTAAGACATGGCACCTCTCTCCCCCACCATATCAGTGTGGAAAGAGAGACAGAATCAAAATCAGCAGTCCTGAAACTTGGCTGCAGCCCAGAAGTGTGACTACCATCAATCTCAAGTAGCTTTGGACACATATCCCCCAGTGCTATACTAAGAGTATGGAAACCCTATGATTTATGATACAACTCCACAAAATGCAAATAGAAACATCACTGTTATGCATCACCTACATGAATATCTTGAGTCCTTCTTGGGTATCGAAACTAGAGAAAAAATGTTTCCACCTGCAAATGAGCACAGACAGGCATTGTGTTTAGTCCTTCACATTGCATTTCTACAGATACCTTTATCAGTTGACACTGTTTTCAATATCTTTTTTTAAACAAAAGCATGGGCTTTGATCCAAATGAAGTAATTCTTAAAGTCTAACTTAAGATATTCAGGTGATGCATAACAGTAATTTTTGTACATATATATATATATATATATATAAAAATCCAACAAGTGGCTGCACTCACGGTAGATAAAAAATCAAAATTTATTGACGATAAGTTAAAACATCCACAATCAACGTTTCAGTCCTACAAGGACTTTCCTCAGGATCAAAAATATCATCTTTTTGATCCCGAGGAAAGTCCTTGTAGGACTGAAACATTGATCGTGGATGTTTTAACTTATCGTCAATAAATTTTGATTTTTTATCTACCGTGAGTGCAGCCACTTGTTGGATTTTTGTATGGATGGCCATAACTTGCTAGCACCCGGGCAACAAGGGTAATTTGAGCGTGAGTGCAGGAGCTCCTGGTATTTTTTATATATATATATATATATATATATAAAACGAGTCCCATGTAAAATTAAAAGGACACTCCACAACTCCAATAAATCACTGTATACTATATATGCCCCAAATGAAAGCATACATGCATTTAATTTCAATTCAGGAATCTAAAAAACAGCTTCGAAAAGCTGCAGTTCTCATCTGCAGTATTCGCAATCCCTCCCCCTCTAACCGCGCGCAGACTTTCTGTGGCTGTCCTATCACAGTCCTCCCAATGCAGCTCAATGAGATATCAAGAGCTCCGAGAAATTTCCCGAACCAAATTTTCTTCTGATACATACGCACAGTTAAAGGGACACTCCGAGTCCCTAAATCACTTTAGTTTGTCGAAATTCTTTATGTGAAGAGCGCACACGATTTTATTTATTTTAAATTTTACAAAAATTGTAGATATCAATAGAAATTGGCCCTTTTATCAATTAATTTTGTAGCACTCCCTGGCAGGTCCTGTTACTTCACATGACCTGCCAGGGGCTGTTACAAAGTTAATTTATAAAAGTGCCAATTTCTATTGAAATCTACAATTTTTGTAAAATTTTAAATAAATAAAATCGTGCGCGCTCTTCACATAAAGAATTTTGGCAAACTAAAGTGATTTAGGGACTCGGGGTGTCCCTTTAACTGTGTGTATGTATCAAAATCCTGGGGTCCTATAATGAAAGGAAGTGATCAGCAGTTCTGGCGATGTATTGGTCTGTAGTTAGCCAGAGGATCATGCAGATGATAACAGGGTCACTTACTAAGTGTTGGCTAGACCAGCTCTCACTATTGTGTGCGTTACCGACACGCAAAGAAATCGAATGCTGCACGACATCGGAACCAAAATGCCGTCCACTTTCCTGGGGGACAACTATGAACGTGCACCCTGCGCTAAGACGTCGCTGCGCAGGCTATGCTCCAAGCCCATAGCAGCGAGTCGGCGTCATCTGGTAGCTGTTGTCACGTGATCCTGAGAGTGTGTGTATGTGTCTATCTGTCAAGGATTCCATTCTCGAACGTGGAGCGTTATGGAAGCTAATCCCTCAGCCAATGGCCGCCTGTGCCTGTCTCTGTTTATATTTACATTACTGTGCTTAGAGCGCTCTGCCGGGTTCTATCTCCCAGGCTTGGCTCCTGTAAGTTTCTGCGAAGAAAACTCGGAGACTGACAACTGCAAGGTAAGGATGGGCGCAGGAGACCCCAATACGGGAGACACACAGGTGGGCTTTACCTGCACTAAGACACAGGAGGACATGGCTCCTGAATAATGGGGGGAGCACAGGTTTCAGGCAGGTATGGTAACAACAAAGTCATACTTCCTGGTACTAGGTGAGCCCTTTAACGCCTTGTGTGCCATGTATTTCCGTATTGCACATACCTGGAAAAAGTAATATGTATGTGTTTTTTTGTTTTTAGTAAAAGCCATCACTAGTAACTAGATGTATTGTGTCAAACCCTCCTTAATGGGAAAAGTGACATTTCCAAGGGCTCGTGTGAGGTGCAGGGTTTATTGGAAAGTTTTACAGTTTCAGTTTACTGTCTGTTGCTCTCCTAAAGGGCCACACTCCACTCTCACCTTCCAGTTCTGCAACTTTCCAAGCTTGTTGTTTGGTTGCTATCCCTCTCCATGCCCTTCCTATTGTGTTTTTTATACCCCACCTTCTCTAGACTGGAAGCTCCTTTGAGCAGGTTTCTCCTCAACCTATTGTTCCTGTAACATTCTTGTCTAATTGTTAAATGTCTCCCTTTTTCTAATATTATAAAGCGATGCGGAATACGTTGGAACTATATAAATGTCAAAAATACTAATAATAAGTCCAAGCAGATGTAGACACTCCACTTAGGGGCACACATGGGCCCAAAATAACCTCCCTCACTTTTTGTTGGGTAATATATATAAGTAATATAGTAAAAAAAAAATTATATGCAAGAAATATGTGCTGTGCATTTTGTTTATACATGAATAAAAGCATGTGTGCTTATATATATTTTTTTTAAATGTACCCTGTAAAAATAATTCAATTGTCAGTCCTTTATTTTGTACAATATATGTTGACTATGGCATAGAATATATTCCAAATGTCTAACTCACATTGTAGCAGTACAACTCTGTTTTTTGATATTATATAATCTAATAACCCCACAAATCAAATTTTAATATTCAAATTATGAATCTCATAGTTTAATTATGCATAAGAGAAAGATAACTCAGTTTATATAAATAACAATTTATTGCTTAAAAAGTACACATACTTAATTTTAAAGTAGCATGCTATGTGTTCAACTCTGTTCTGCTTCCTGAATTGTAGGAATAATTAAACCTCATCTCCAAGTTCTGGAACCAGCAGTTTCATGCAAGATGTTTAAAGGAGCACTATAGTGCCAAGAAACAAACTATTTTTCCTGGCACTATAGGGTCATTATGTACCACCCTAAGGGCCCCCCTCCCCTTCAGCCACTTACCTTTCTCCAGCGCCGGGCTCCCTCTGTGCTGGGGAACTCTCCACCCGCTGCCGACGTCAGAGCCGCGCATGCATTCAAACAGCCCATATAAAAGTATTACTCAATGCTTTCCTATGGACGTCCAGTGTCTTCTCACAGTGATTTTCATAGTGAGAATCATGGAAGCGCCTCTAGCGGCTGTCAGTGAGACAGCCACTAGAGGCTGGATTAACCCTCAGTAAAACATAGCAGTTTCTCTGAAACTGCTATGTTTTCAGCTACAGGGTTCAAAACTAGAGGGACCTGGCATCCAGACACTTCATTGTGCTGATGTGGTCTGGGTGCCTATAATGGTCCTCTAAGTGTTTCTTCCTCTCAGTGAGGTCAGCATAGTGAATTTGCACAAGACATTTCAGCTTCAAGTGTTTTTATTTAAGGCACTATGCCCTTTCTACCCAATTTACTCTCACCTAAAATAAGAAAGTTTAGTTATGTGAAAGCAGCCATGTGCAGTGCCGCCCTTGGCTACCAACACCTCATGCACACAGCCCAGGGAGGAAGATAGTCTTTTGACAGTACACAAGCCACAAACAAGCTGGATGGGTCTTGGCCACTAACATCCTTTGATGTTCAAGGGACAGTCTTATAACTGCAGCAATAAATAGTATTTAACCTATGCCGTACTCATAGGTTATTATGATGCTTACAGTGACTTTTTAGTAGGGTTAGCTATACTATACTTGGACTCAATTCTCTCAAGTATTTGCTTAAATGTGCAAAATTGTTTTCTAGATTATTTTATTTTTTCTACAAACGAAACAATAGGTTCATAACTCTTGGGAGGTATGTCACTGGTCTTCTTTAAAGTATTCGAGGTGTAGAATACTTTAATGCACATGCAGATCACAAAAATTCAGTTTTTTTTTTTTTTTTTATGCTAACCTATTTTATTTCTCAATTTCTAGTCACAGATTAAACTCTTTGTCAACCGTTTGGATTCTGTGGAATCTGTTCTTCCGTATGAGTATGATGCGTAAGTAATCATTTTTAACTTGTATAACTACGATACATTTTATCTTTGGTTTCGCTGTAAAACTAATTTCTCTTAGTATATTAGATCTCAATTTCTTTTCAGTTCACTAAGCTAGTAAAATTTCAATCAAATTAATTGCTCAAAGGTATTTTTTGTCAAAACATGGGGAAACAGAACAAAGAAGGGAGGGGGGATTGCAGGCTGAATACACGCACATATACAACATGGACTTCCCTGGTTCCAGAGATTCAATGGTTTTATACATGAGTTTTACAGTTACATTTACGGTGTTTGTTACATACCAGTACGCTTTTGGTTGGTCTCGATCGTGGTTATGGTACCAGATTGTGTATTGTTTATTGTTTACGCCCTACTATCCCAGTGGGGCTTCTATGTGTGCGGGTTCATAATGTTGGCAGTTTGGGTTCCAGGGTGTGGAAGGGGAGCTTTGGGTCTATGTATCCCTTTCCCCTCGTCATCTCCATGTTTGCAATTCCTCACTTTCCGTGCTTAGGGGACACAGGCACTTATGCATATCTGTGACCCTGTAGGCTACCATTGCCGAGCATTGAGGTTTGTGCCCGCCGCTGAGCATATTTATAGTTGGATAACTGAGTTACAGATTTGCATCGAGGCTTCGGAGTTATGTTATGGTAATATCTGGGTAGTGTACTTTGGGTTAGATATATGTCGCCTGTTTGCTGCGTTTTGCCTGTTGGTACTCTTCGTGGTACCTATCAGCATGTTATTCGTGGGCTACTTAGGTCACATTTGATTGGTTATGGGTGGGTATTGTAGGGTTCTTTAGTGTGTTTTACTCGTAGGTCATGTGCCTCCTGAACCCCTTTTCGTGCACCAAATTGTGTGGTAGTCATCCTTTCGTACGCCCAATTTAGGTCTACCTGCTGTATGAGATCTTCTCTGGGCGGGATCACCGCCTTCTTCCATATTTTAGATATCACTAGGTTAGCTGAAATTAGTGTGTGGTATATTATCAACTTGACATGTTTCGGTATTTCCTCTGGTAATATGAACAGGAGACACACCTGTGGGTCATCTGCTCTTGGGGTGGGCAGTATCTTCTGTATTAAGTTTGCTATTGCTTCCCAAAATGGTCTGAGTGTGGTGCATGTCCACCAGACGTGTATCATTGTACCCACCTCCTCCCCACACTCCCAGCATATATTGCTGGTTGCTGGCCATATTTTGTGCAGCTTGTCCGGTACCAGATACCAGCGGTATAAGATTTTGCGCTGTAATTCCATGTGTGTGGCACATGCTGTGAGCCCCTTGTGGGCTATGTAGGCCCTCTCTCAGTCCCTATCTCCTATTGTTCTGCCTATGTCCGCTGCCATGCCAGTTTTATCTCTCCTAATATGTGTGTTTGGTGCGCTAATAGTCTCTGGTATCCCTAGGACATCGTTTTGTTGAGTGGTGCGATTCCCGTACATTGGTTTTCGAAGTCTGTCATGTGTGTCTTTACATTAGTGTGTGTTTGTTTTCCCAATTTGTCGGTCACATAAGATTTAAGCTGGAGTTAGGAGAAAACAGCTTTAGTGGGTAGGTTGTACTTGTACTGTATGTCAGGAAATGGTGTTATTCGACCCCTATCTATAACTTGGTATATGTGGTGTACACCTCCCTTCACCCATGTTTCCCATGGGAATGTAGGGATGTCTAGCCCAATTGTTCGCATTCTTGTGGCCAGGGGTAGTTTCAGCGTTGACTCCATAATCGCAGTAGGGTTTGGGTAGTGGGCAGGAGAGCATCTAGGGCTCGGTTATTGCCTGTCTGTTTCCACATTAGTGATCGGAGATCACTTTGTGGGGCTATGCTGGACTCAATTGTCACCCACTGTGGGATGTTCGTAAGCCGGTTAATTTGGGTGATGTTTTGTAAGTATGCAGCTCTGTAGTATGCTGTTAGGTTGGGTAGGCCCAACCCCCCATTTTTTACTGACTGTTGTAACGTCCCTGCTGCTACTCTCGCCTTTTTCCCCTCCCATATGAAGGAGTTGATAGTATGTTGCATGTTTTTCAAGAATTGTTTTGGTATGGGTATTTGTAGCGTACGGAAAAGATATTGTATCTTAGTTATGAGCGACATTTTAACTGCTGCATTTCGGCCCAGCCACGATAGGTACCTTCCCCTCCAAGTTTGCAGAGTGTCCGAGAATTCTTTTAGCATTCGGGCATAATTGTGTCTGAACAGGTGGGCTGGGTTTTTGGGTAGTTTGATGCCCAAGAATGTCAGGTAGTCGTGTCTCCAGTCTAGTGGGAATGCCATCTCCAGTCTGTTTGTTAGATTCTCACCCAATGGGTTTTCGTGACGTTTAGTTTGTAATAGGACACTGCTCCGTACTCATGGATTCGTGCCGTCAGCTTTGGTAGAGAGATTATGGGGTGTGTTAGCGTTACTAGAATATCATCCGCGAACAAGTTAAGCTTGTATTCCTTATCGCCTAGGTGTATGCCTTGTATGTCTGCATCAGCCCTGATGACTGCTGCCAGGGGTTCCAGCACTAGGATATAGAGCAACGGTGACAGGGGGCACCCCTGTCGCGAGCCGTTGGTGATGTGAATTTGTTTGGATAAGAAACCCAGAGTTTAGGACTCTGGCTGGGGGATGTGAGTAAAGTGCCAGGACAGTATTTATGAAGGCTTGGGGGAACTTATATTTACCAAGCACTGCCTGCAGAAAGGGCCAGTTGAGCCTGTCAAAGGCCTTTTCGGCGTCTGAGAGAAGAACCCCCCCTACCCGCTTCGGAGCAGGCTGCACAGTAAGTCAAGTACCTTCTGACCCTTGTGAAGCCCACCTGGTCATCGTGGATCAGTGTTGAGAGTATGTTGGTTATTCTGTTGGCTTGTACCTTCGCGTATAGCTTAATGTCCATATTTAGGAGGGAGATTGGTCTGAAATTTTGGCTACACGTGGGTGGTTTTCCTGGTTTGGGCAGCGTGACTATGTGTGCACCCAGCATCGCTTCTGGTGTGTCAGCTTTGAGGGTGATTGCTTTGAATAAGTTCGCCAGGTGCGGGGCTAGAGTGTTTGCAAATTTTTTTTTTTATAATTGTTGGTGAACCCGTCTGGGCCTGGGGCTTCCCGCTCGGGAGGTGGGAGATGGCCTGGAGCACCTTGTCCACTGTAATAGGGGCTTGCAGTATATCTATTTGTTCCCTAGTTAGTGATGGTAGGGGGACCCCTTCTAGGTATCTATCTATCTGTCTCTGAGTTGGCTGGCATGTGTTGGCATCATTCTCTAGATTGTATAGGGTTGTATAGTAATCCGCAAAGACATCACCTATGTCCTTGGGCATTACCTTCTTTCCCCCGGCAGAGTTTTGGATGAATGGGATCTTAGTGTTTGCGCTCCTGTGTGACAGTCTCCTAGCTAATAATTTGTTTGCCCTATTCTCCTGTACGTAGTGTGTGGCCCTGAGTTTTCGAAGGTGGAACCCTGTTTTTGCCAAGTCATGCTCCTTAATTTCTCCTAACTTCTCCTGAATTTGTCTTTTTAACTCTGGTGTTGGGGTCATTTGGTTTTGCTTGTTGAGGGCATACAATGTTTTTAGCCAGCTTTTTGTTTTTGTTTGGGACTCTTGTTTTAGTGCGCTTGCTTTTCCTATGAGAAATCCCCCTAATAACTGGCTTGTGGGCCTGCCGTAAGGTTTCCAGCGTTATTCCTGGTGTCTGATTGTTAGTAAAGTAAAGGTGCATGTCAGTGGCTAGGTCCTTACAGAATTGTGAGTCATTCAAAAGGGTCTTGTTCAATGTCCACGGACTGCGGTGTTTGTAGTCATATGCATCTTGCAGTTCAAGAGTGATTGGGGCATGGTCAGACCATGTAATGGTGCCTATCGAGCAAGATGTTAGTTGGTTGAGGAATGTACCCTTTATAAAGAACCCGTCTATCCGGGAGTAGGTGTTGTGGACCTGGGAGAAAAATGTATAATCCCTTTCCTCTCGATGTAGTACCCTCCATGTATCAAAAAGGTCATGCTCACTAAGAAGGCGGACTAAGGGTTTGCATTCTTGTGTGAAGGTTGTGTTTCTAGGCGTGTTTGGTCGTACTGTCGAGTCGGGGTCTAGTATGTGGTTCAAGTCCCCGCATATGATCGTGACACCCCTCTGCACTGGCGTGAGGCGTGTTATGATTTTTTGCAGGAAGTATCGCTGATTTACATTTGGTGCGTAAATGTTGACAATAGTGTGTTCTAAGTTATTGATCTCACAAGTCATAATGATGTACCTCCCCTGTGTGTCTCTGGCCTCGTACAGTAGCTTAAAGGACACGTCTTTGCTGATCAGTATAGATACACCTTTAGTTTTAGATGTGGCCGTGCTATGGTACTGGACTGGGTACTGTGCTTGTGCCAGGTTGGACGCCTGTTTAAAGTGTGTTTCCTGTAGCATACTATGTCTGGGCGTGTCTTGCGCAGATCTCTGGTTGGGTAGTATCTCTTTACTGGGGTGTTCAGCCCCTTAACATTGTGGCTATATATTTTCATATTCTATTGGATAGTATATAAGGTTACTGGGTATTTCTGTTATTGTGTGTCGTCATGGTGGTATGCGATCTCCCCAAGGGGTCCATGTTTTTGCTGCCCCCTTGGTCCTCACTGCGGGGCTCTTCTGTGCCTGGGGTGAGGGTTGGGAGGGTAGGGAGCAGGACTAAGGTATTAGCGATACAAACAACAGTCGAATATAACAAAACAATGTATACATTAACTAACAAACATGTGAGTATACATTTCCCACTGAAGGGTATTGCACTACCGTGATAGTGCAAGGTGTGAGCGTGGTTACTATATAGACTTCTGGAGTGTAAATCAGTTGGTTGCACACATGCCCGATTCACTCCATCGATATTCTCATGCGTGTTATGCTGAGTGTGCTGTGTATTTACCGGCTAGTGCTGTGGCGTGAGCTTGACTGGCGTGTGTCTACGACTTTTTTTTTTTTTTCTCCCTCTTTTAGTTTTTTTTGTGTGTGTGAAGTTCGTGTCGGTATGTGTTTCATGGCTTTTTTTTTTGTGTGTGTGTTGTGTTTGTTGTCCAGAGTGTACATAATGAGACATCTAGTGCTTGGTATACTTGCGCCTTGATGTCTGCTAGGCCATGGTGGGCCATGGTCTCTGTGCCAGTTCATTTTTTGGTCTTTCCTCTCCGGATTTGGCGTAATGTTTCAGCTGTGCAGCAGTTTGCGGCCTTCCTCCGGTGTGTTCACTGTAGTCACTGTGCCGTTTCTTCTGATTAGGAGGCAGATTGGAAATCCCCCTGTATATTATTGTGGCGGAGGGCTTCCGTCGTTTCCCTGAATTCCTTTCAGGTTTTGGAATGTGGCTGTGGAAAGGTCAGTGAACATTTTAATGTTCTTGTACTTTTGTGGGAGCTCTCAGTCTGCTCTTGTTGCTTGGAGTAGTGTTTCCTTAGCATGGACGTAGTGTAGATGTGTAAACACATGTCTGGGGGTGTCTTGTGGCAGGAACGCCGTTTTTTGCACCCTGTGGTATCTATCCAGTAACAGAATTTCTGCTGGTATAAATAGCGCCTTAAAGTACCCTATTAGGTACTCATGTAGGTCCTGCTGCCTCACCTCTTCTGGGATGCCCCTGATGCAGAGATTTTGGCGTCTTGGGCTGTCCTGTAGGTCCATGACCTTCCTGTGTGAGGTCTAGTTGCTGCTGCATATCTTTCACCTGTTCCGCCATTTCGTTGTGCGCTGTGGCTTGTTCCTCCATGCGGTTTTCCACATGTGCCGTCCTGTCCCCCAGCTCCTGCATCTCTCGTTTCATTTCTCTCAGTGTGCCTTGCAGGGTTTCCAGGATCTTACTGGACATGTTGCCTAGGCACTTCTGTAAGAAGTCCTGGGTCACTGGTAAGTTTTGTGCCCCTGGGGATGTTTGCAGTGGCAGTGTGTCATTACCTCCATCGCCATCTTGTTCCTATTCTGCTAGTCCTGATTTTTTTGGCGTCGACGCCTGGGTCGTGAAGAAGCACAGTGCGACCATCCGCTTTGCTTGTCAGGCCACGCCCCCTGCTCAAAGGTATTTTAAGAAAAATCTTCAAAGTGACATCTTTAGCACGATGGCCTCTACGTGGTGTTATAGATATATGGGTGCCATCCCTGGCTCTGTTTTTGACCTGTTTGGCTAAAATAGGGAGTACCCTTGACACCCACAAATTACCTTTCTTGACAATTCCACTGTGAAACTTACACTTTTGCATTAGCATTATCAATTACTCCCATATTTGGACAGCGGTGATAGGCCAACAGTATCACCTGTCCCTCTCAAAAGTAAGCAGCTCTACAAAAGGGGCAGGTACTGCTTTGAAAGCTGAATTTGAGTTACATGGAGTGATGGAACCAAATCCTGAGGACTCCAGACTTATAGCGGCAAATCTTAATGATCATAAAGCGTATCGAAGGAACAATGCTCCTTCAGAGTGTTATTTGGGACTATATGTTATTTTTTAGGTAAGCTTTTAACATAGTTGAGAAGTAAATGTGTTTAACCCTGTTTATGGCTACTGATCAGCCTCTTCTCGGAAAAAGGTGGAATACCTGCACTTTAGGACTCTCAGTTCGGCTCTTCTTGAGCATGCCTCTGTAGCACATAACTTCTTCCTCTTTGTGACTGAATCCATACTTGGCTTTTAGCTTGCTCAATATATAACATACAGCACACTCAGTGTTTTGTCTTCTGGATTTTTGTTTTTAAGTTGTAAAAAGTGGTAGTGGTGTTCAGTTTATATAATTTGCGCACCACAATTTTTGTTATTACCACACCACACACAGACAGACAGGATGCTCACTTGAGGATAGTATGAGGGATAGTTACAGTAGATAAATTCTCATTTTTATTTCCTAATTTTGTTTCGGCATGGTGACGTAGAGCTGTGTATGGGTCATGTCTTGCTTTGGAGAGGTTAACAGGTATATAACTTTGGGTTCTCTGTTTTTTTTTTTGTTTGTTTTTTTGTCTGTCTAGAGCAGCAAGCTTTCCACACAGTTGTTCCTATTTAAGTTATTTCCCTGACTAGATTCCTATAGTGCACTCAAGGTTTTAAATGAAAGCCATGAAATTGGAAGATCTTTTTTTTTTTGTTCTTATGTGTGTTTGTGGTGAATGGATCCATAAATTTCTTCACTGATACCAGTGAAATTGTGTACTCTCTCCCGTTTTTAGAAGAAAAACTTAATGGACACACGTCTCCTTTCCACTATATAAGACTAATAAAGACATTACTTCCTCATTGGTCTTTTTTCCAGAGTCAAACCGGTTTAATAACTAGCACTAGGTGTGAACTGCTGTTTAAATTGCAATTTACAATGATTGTTTCATGAATTCCATTGTTGTATTTATGTTCTTGCCAGATATATTTACAAAATATATTATGACAATATGCTGAAATTAAGAATCTACATTGTTTCAGAGGCAGTCAGGACTTCAGGTTTTAAAAAAAAACAAAAAAAAAAAAAAACTTTTCTTTGTTTTTTGGTATATTAGTGGTTTTGTTTTATTACTTTCTAAGCTGGTTGAGAGCTGACAAGTATGAACCACTTAAATGTTTCTCGTGCTTAAGTTAAGAATGACCAATCCCATTCCAGTAATCCTTATGAACTGTCTTAAAGATGTTTAAAGTGCTATGTTGTTCGACTGGTTTCTTTTTGATGCAGGAGCAATAAGTTATTTTAACAATGTAAGGAAGTATCTGTGTAAGTATGAAAAGAATCTCTCCTTTAAAGGGATTTCTCCAGTGCCAGGAAAACATATCCGTTTTCCTGGCACTGCAGGACCCTCTAGTACCCCTCTCGCTCCCAACCCCCATCCCAAGTCGCTGAAGGGGTTAAAACCCCTTCAGTTAGTTACCGGAGTCCAGTGCCGATGTCCCTCAGCGCTGGGTCAGGCTCCGCCCACGCTCCTCCCCCGCTGTCAGCCGGCGGGGGAGACCTAATGTGCATGTGCTGCAATGGCTGCGCACACGCATTGAATAATAATTTCCTATGGGGATTTCCTCGACGCTGGAGGTCGTCACATAGCATAAGGACGTCCAGCGTCGTTTAAAACACTTTTCGTGTTCTATGAACATGGAAGTCCCTCTAGTGGCTGTCTAATAGACAGCCACTAGAGGAGGACTTAACCCTGCAATGTAAATATTGCAGTTTATGAAAACTGCAATAGTTACACTTGCAGGGTTAAGGGTAGTGGGTGTTGGCACCCAGACCACTCCAATGGGCAGAAGTGGTCTGGGTGCCTGGAGTATCCCTTTAAAGATGTCGGTTTTAGTGGTTTTACAACTTACATGGGCCCTCCACTTCAGTTAATAGAGCTTCCGAGCCTGGTGGACCCCAGGTTAGTAGTCAAACTGTTGGCAAATGGCTGACTACTTACATTGGTATATTTCTTTGTTAATTTCATGCTTCTACAATTGAGAACATGGATTTGTGGTTTATGCATTGTAGTAGACTAAATGCAAATACTTTAAAACAAATTGCTTGTACTCTTTTTTTTATTTTCTATACTGATTGATACTTGATTGGTATATGGAGTGCAGGGATGCATAAAATATAAAAATAAATGTGTACTCCTGTTATGTTTGGTTTTCATTCAGAAATTGGACAGTTAGAAAAAAGTGGCATATCCTTTGTCTTGATATTTTTACTTTCAATAACGACTGCTTGTGCTTTGGGGGTATTTAGTAAATTGTAACTGAATAAAATGTGTTGTATTTTTTTTTTTTTATGATAGTCTTTCTTTTCTACTACAGCTTTGATTTCTGCAAAGATGAACATGAAGAATGGGCTTCTGAGAACCTTGGACAAGTATTATTTGGAGAAAGAATTGAATCATCCCCATATAAGGTTATAAAACTTGATTACTTTTTATCTTATGGGAAACTGGGTGAGTCGGAGCTTGTACACTACTCGTTCTTTCATGCAACCTCAGTGCTGGTATTTCTCAACTGCCTTCAGTTTGGTGTTTATTGAAGAACTAATGGTTTTATTGACTATTATAAAATAGAACTTCAGTTATTACATGATCATTTTGTTTGTGAGTTAATGAGTTACCTCGTTTGGAAAAGGAAAAGGGTTAGACTTGCCACGTATGTAGTTTTCAGCTCTGAAGAATGTGTTACTTTGTCATCAAAATGAGACTTATTTTTATGGAAATAATTAAAAAAATATATATCTATCTTCACTTTCTTATTTTGCAGTTTACATTCAAGAAACCAGAAACATGTGCAAAAGTTTGTACCAAGACCTACACAACCAAAGACAAAATAGCAGCTCTTGAATTCATGAAAAAGGGAATTGAGCTTAACTATCAACAACATTGGTGAGATTTGTCTGTGTGCATTAAATGGGCAGTCTCCGCACCATAGCAATTACAGCTCATGTTCTAGCTGGGCTCTCCCACGGTTTGTTATACGGTTTAGGCAGACTGACAAAAGCTCAGGCTCCTCTGGCACCTAAGTCATAAACCTGTAGATCGGCAAATACAGAAGTGAATTTCCGCATTAACCGCTCAAGCTTGAACGGCAGTGGTAGATTGTGAGCAATGGACATGGCTCCTAAAAACACTTTGAATGATAACCACTACAGTGAGTTGTAATGGTTATGCTCTTAACATGTCCCTTTAATCTACATTTCCTTGAGGCTAAAATTGTTAGAAATGCAATGACAAATACATCTAAATGGTAGTGAATTAGGGATAACCAAACACGAGAAGGATTTGGGAATTGTTATAGACAACAAATTAGGCAGTAATATGCAATGTCAATCTGCTGTTGCTAAGGCCAGTAAGGTTTTGTCATGTATAAATAGAGGCATAAATTCTTGGAATTAAAATATAATTTTGCCTCTTTATAAATCGCTGGTAAGAGCACACCTTGAATATGCTGTGCAATTTTGGGCACCTGTTCTAAAGAAGGATATCATGGCACTAGAAAAAGTGCAGAGTTGAGCTACAAAATTGATAAAAGGAATGGAGCATTTTAGTTATGAAGAAAGGTATAAAAATTGAAATCTGTTTAGTTTGGAAAAACGTTGCCTCAGAGGGGATATGATAACATTATACAAATATACTCAGGGCCAGTACAAACCATGATCTGGAAATCTGTTCATAAACAGGGACATAGGACACGAGGTCACGGATTTAGGCTGAAAGAAAGGAGATTTCATCTAAGGCAAAGAAAAGTTTTTTGTTTTTTGAACAGTAAGAACTATAAGGATGTTGAATTCTCTGCTTGAAAGGGTGGTTTTATCAGCGTCCATACAAATGTTTAAACAGCAATTGGATAAACACTTGCAAAAACATAACATACAGAGATATAATGTCTAATTAGTGGGGTAATAGCTGCTTGATCCAAGGAGATAACTGACTGCTATTTTGGGGTCAAGCAGGAATTTTTTCCTAGTTTGTTGCAAAATTGGAAGCGCTACAGACTAGGTTTTTTGCCTTCTTTTGGATCAATAGCAAAAACATATGTGAGGAACGCTGAACTTGATGGACGCAAGTCTCTTTTCAGCTATGTAACTATGTAATCTTAAAATATGGGTCCCATGAGTCATCTACTCTAGTGCATCTTTTGGTAGGCATGAAAAGATGCCGTCCTGATCAATCAGCATCTCTATAGGGAAAGTTCAGTGTCTCCATGCAGAGCGTGGAGACGCTCAACGTCAGTGCTGTACAGCAGTGGCCAGTGAAGGTGTCCCTAGGGAGAAATGTAAACCCTGCCTATTCTCTGAGAAAACTGTCCTTCTTAAATAGAGTGGCATTCTTTTTAACGTAGATATATGTATTTATTTCTCGTTTTCAGGATCATAGACAATATGCCAGTGACTTGGTGTTATGACGTGGAGGTTGGGCAAAAGTACTGCAGGCCTGGCTTCCCTATTGGATGTGCTATTGCAGAAGATGGAAGAATCAGAGATTCTTGTATTCTAAATGTAAGTGGAAACTTTACATTATATGGGGTTTCTTTTTCATTGATGATGTAACCAGTGTTTAGTGGTTTTTAATCTTTTTTTCCCAAATCAAAAGCTAAATCTTTAGAGGGATTATGTCAGTTCTTGTTATTAGCAGAAAACTACTGGCTTTATTAACATATCAGTGATATTCTGATGGCCAATGTTAACTGGAAAAAGTAAACATGTTTATTTATTTTGCTGATTCATCCCATAATGTTTTATATCCTAGAACCAATTTAACAAAAAGAACACATTCTACCTCTTCAATCATGTTGATATAATAATTACCTATCACAGTGGGAATGGAGAAAATTGGGAAGGAGCAAGATTGGTTTCAGCAAGACTTGAGCCCAAAAGGTAGTTATGTTTTTGATTATTTTTCCCTCTCTCCCAATCTGTTGAAATAATTATGACGTTTTTACTAGGACCTGGGCCACATGTATGGGGTGGGGGGTGGGAGGGTGTGTTTGTTTGTGTGTGTTATTGTGGGAGAAGGCTATTTTTTGTGCTCGATTGGCTGGAGGTAGAGACCAAGGGGCACATCAGACAGACTGTCCTCCCTCCTGACAGTATGCAGTGCACACGTTAGTCTCTGCATACAGCTCATTTGACAGTCTGGTATCACTAAATATAGCGCCAACTAGCCGACAGAAGCCCAAATATCAGTTGATACCTGGGTCTTCCTGGTGTGAGCAGGGATATAACCATGTTAACACCAAAATGTTAGGACGCTCCATGCCATCCTAACTGCGTCAATGATTACTATAGTTAGGATGGCATGGATGCTGCTAAAAATGAAATTTTGCTAAATACATTATAAGCGTTTTCTATGTTTGATACAGATTTGTAAATATTTAATGTATTGTCTGGAAAATTAAATATAATTTTTTTTTTCTTTCAATTTATGTCCAATTTGTTTGTAAAATCTTGATTGTAATACAAACTTGATCACCATACTCTTTATGTACATGTATTTACTGTGGTTGTTTTTCTTGTATTAGCTACAAGCATACCAAAAATAATTTAAATTGTGATGGTCCTCCAATGGAAATTCCTCAAAAACTTACTGGTGATCTGGATGTAATATACACATATTCTGTGAAATTTCAAGTAAGTCTTCATATAAAAGACCAATGAAATGAATACAATTAACACTTTTTTTAAAAAAAATAACAGTTGTGCAAAGTTGGTTTGACTATTGCTAAATATGGTGGGTTTTTTTAATTTATTTTTTTATAGTCTATCTTCTCAGTGTTTGTGGAAAAAAATAAAGACATTATATAATGAAAAAAACAGTATCAACAGCTTATAATTAAAATACAAAGTTTTTTAATTTTATGTGCTTAAAAATTTTATAGTAGTACATTTATATGTATCTATTTCCAGGAAAATAACACCATTAAGTGGGCTTCTCGATGGGATTATATTTTAGAATCCATACCTCACACCAATATTCAGTGGGTCAGGTACGTACAAATAGATTGTATTTACATTTTAACAGACATTTTTATTTTTTTTGTTCTGTTCTTCAAATTGTTATGCATGAAAGTAACAACACAGGGTTATCTGCAGGTAGATGAATATACAGACCTCCAGGACTTATTGCATTTGCGCCTTTGTCAACTTTTAATCATAGGCTTAAAGAAACACTATAGCGTTAGCATTACAAATGTGTGTTCCTTATAATATAGTGCCTCCTTGGATTAGATTATTGATGATCTAAACCAATCCAATATTTATCTACAAGAAAGCATTGGGAAGCTAGTGTGCATGCGTGCCAAAATGGCATGCTACACTAAACAGTATTTTGTGAGACCATCGAATTGAAAAAGCAGAATTTTGCTCTATTTCATTAGAAGGCATTTAAATCCTGCAATATAACATTGCTTTCCTGCAGAGTGACAATATTTTACATTGAAAGGCAAAACTACTGAGTCATGGCAAACAGACCATTTCATTAAGAGGATGATTCATTGGTCTGAGTGCCTATAGTGTCTATTTTGTGGGAGACCAGGGATTAGCATTGTTATTTATGATTTATTTATTTTTTTAATGTTGCTTCAGCTCAGAAATGTGTATTTAATTGTCATAAAGTTTTGTTTTAAATTTTTGTTTTTGTTTCTTTTATATTTTCATTGTGTTATTTATTATGATAATGCAGTAACAAGTCCTCTCTATTTATTATGCAGTATTATGAATTCCCTGGTTATTGTCCTTTTCCTGTCTGGCATGGTGGCGATGATTATGCTAAGAACGCTTCACAAAGATATTGCCAGATATAACCAAATTGAGTCTTCTGTGAGTATAATGTTCTGTGTGCTCCATGTGCTTTCCAATTATTGGCATCCTATATTCTGCCAATTTTCCAGGCTCTTGAGATAATTACATCTATCAAAAGCTGGACCCCAGCATCAAGGATATATTTATTTTGTTTTAAGCAAATGTTTGTGTGTACGGAGTTAACATGTGTTTTTAAAAAAAATAATAAAAAAATAATATATATATATATATATATATATTTATTAATTACGGGCAAACTAACATTGGAAAAAGACTTGGTTTAGCTAATAAACCCAAAAAAGAGCAAGTTTAAAAAAAAGTTTAGACATTTTTTTTTTTTTTTCTCATTTACATTTTTGGGATTTTCAACCAGAGTAATTTTGTTCACACATCATATTTAAACAGTATGAAAATAGGAACAAAAGTTTATGGGAAACAACTTGGATGAACAGAAGCAGCAAGAAAAACACAGTGACTCTCATTCAATCTCTTTAGAAAAAGGAGCATAGAAATAATGATATTTCATTAGCTGCCTTCATCTGTTATGTTGCCTAGACCTGTTTCAGACTTGCTCTTTTCATTAAGGATTCATGTAGTGTGGCTCTGTCAGTCAGTAGTGACAATTCTGAGTATTTTATAAAGATAAAATCTATTATGAAATGCTCATGGATTGTGTTATGAATTCATTGAAATTCCAATGCATTGGAAATATAAGGAAAAGTATATCTTACTTTGTCTTATGAGCAATGCCAGGTATAGCACAAGTTGAAAAATGGTAGGAACTTCTGACCACAACTTTTTTTCATTTCACAACAACAGTCGTTGGCAACAACTGTGGGGGAAAAAGCATGTTCTCGTACATGGTGCAAGCAATTCCATAGACCTTTGTTTAATAATATCACATAAAATTAGTGGTCAAGATGAACCTCTAAATGCTGAAGATAGACCCTGGAATGAGGATGGTCATGCTCACAAGGGAGAGTTACCTGTTAAGAATAGCTCTCTTAACGGGACATCTAGACCCCTATAGCATTTAAGAGAAAAATAAAGAAAGGCAAGGTCCCTATATATCCTCCAAATTATAAGGGCCTAACCCTAGATGAATTCAGCAGAAGCGATGTTCCATTCGGAACCAGGATATTTTGGAGTGACATAAATGGATAGAGCTAAATATGACTGTGAAAGAACATCCCCATGCAAAAAATGTGCTAAGTGCCAAGTGAAATAAATAATCAAATTAGATATACCATTGCAGGCCAATGCTAAAATTTGTGGTCAGTGACCTTTAATATATTGCTTGGAATACCATGCGTGGTGTATCTACTAAACAGTTAGAGGGAGAGCAGAGGCATCCTAAGAGACCTTAGTAAGGATAGATCTATGATCTGACACACTTACTATAATTGCATAGAGTGCTCCACTAGAGTGAACTAAAAAGATATATAGAGGAACACCTTATTTCACTTGACACTTAGCACATTTATTTGCATGGGGATGTTCTTTCACGGTCATAATATTTAGCTCTATCCATTTATGTCCAAATATCCTGGTTCCAAATAGAACATCACTTCCCCTAAAGCATTTAAGCTTGCTGAAGTGTTTTATGTGTGAAGAGTGTAATTCTGCTAAAAATAATGGAAACATGCTTTCTAACGATACAATTGTTGAAAACAGGTATTTTGTTAACTGGTTGCTTTTAATACCAGTTAACCTAAACAATTTATAAGTACATGGGGAACATTTTCCCCAGAGCATTTAGCTTTTAACAAAACCTTAAATTCTTTGTAAGGTGTCGGTTGTACAGTTCTCTGTGTACTTCTATGTCCTGAGATTTATATACTGCAAATTATTATTTTTCTATCATTGGGAGTCTTTTACATAGTTTTGAAAACTTGAAGGCCAAACTGTATTGTTCTTTCTTTATATCTATCTCTAAAAATCTCCAGTGCCCATAGTTACTATACTTTACCTTGATTTTTACAGGAGGATGCACAAGAAGAATTTGGTTGGAAGTTGGTACATGGTGATATATTTCGATCACCAAAAAAAGGGATGCTGCTTGCTGTTTTTCTTGGCCAAGGAACTCAGATTTTCATTATGACATTTATCACATTATGTAAGTATTTCTTACATTTATGCAAAAAAAGTAATATTATTAAATTAACCATGACTTATTCCAAATCCTATTTTTACTCGGCTCCATATCTTTTTATGTTAAAGAAGATAAGTAATCTTAATAGTGGTTACAATGTCTCTTATGAATAGGCATGCATTTATTGTCTACATGTTTTTTACCAATAAAGTGACATAATTTTTATTCAGTATATTAGCACTCGCACTACAGAAAGGTACACTATTGGCACAAATTCACCTGGCAACCACTTTAGAAACCGCTTGGTTGAACTCGTAGGATACACTGTGACTTTTGTCCTAAAACATCAAACAATGAACTGTCAGCTCATTTTCAACTATAGTTGCATTCATTAAAAACATTTTGATTTATAAAAGTGGATCAATAGTGCAGTATGTTCTTGTAGAAATTCTATATTGTGCTTGCTCCAATCATTTAGCCATCATGAATGGGCGACTAATGGGTTTAGAAGATACCAAAATGATAGCACACTCAATTCTAAAGCAAAATAGAAAAATGGGTACTTTATTGACACAATATAGAAGTATAGGTAAGAGGGCTAATCTTTCCTATATAGAAGTAAACCTATCTCAATTCACATAACTGGTCCACCATATATAAAGTGCAAAACATTACTTAAAGTGCTTAGTGCCAAATCACCATAAATATATAACTCAATACATTAAAGTACAAACAAATACATATGCACAATACTGCCTGCCTGCAATTCCTATGCACAAAGCAAATAACTGGAAAAAATGGAGGGCACACAGATGTCAGTAATCTGTGCAGCAGAGTTACTAAAGTATACTCTAAATGTCAATGATCTGTCCCAATCCTGAATGTATGGTGGTGGATCCAATACAGAAAAAAATGATAAAAAATGATGACAAATCAAAAGGACATTCTGTAATAAAAGTCTAGGTTAGATCTCACCCAAAAGTATATAAGGAGGCTTCCTGGTGGACAGTCATACTGTATTGATTCTCCTGAAAGTAGAATAAGGGATGGATACATCCACTGCACATCTCCTTCACTCTGTATGCAGGGATTCTCATATAGCAACAGGATGGAGCAGCATCTCCTTCACTCTGTATGCAGGGATTCTCATGTAGCGGCAGGATGGAGCAGCATCTCCTTCACTTTGTATGCAGGGATTCTCATATAGCAGCAGGATGGAGCAGCATCTCCTTCACTCTGTATGCAGGGATTCTCCTATAGCAGCAGGATGGAGCAGCATCTCCTTCACTCTGTATGCAGGGATTCTCATATAGCAGCAGGATGGAGCAGCATCTCCTTCACTCTGTATGCAGGGATTCTCATATAGCAGCAGGATGGAGCAGCATCTCCTTCACTCTGTATGCAGGGATTCTCCTGTAGCAGCAGGATGGAGCAGCATCTCCTTCACTCTGTATGCAGGGATTCTCATATAGCAGCAGGATGGAGCAGCATCTCCTTCACTCTGTATGCAGGGATTCTCATGTAGCAGCAGGATGGAGCAGCATCTCCTTCACTCTGTATGCAGGGATTCTCATATAGCAGCAGGATGGAGCAGCATTTCCTTCACTCTGTATGCAGGGATTCTCATGTAGCAGCAGGATGGAGCAGCATCTCCCTCATTTTGTATGCAGGGGTTCTCTCATAGCAGCAGGATGGAGCAGCATCTCCTTCATTTTGTATGCAGGGGTTCTCATATAGCAGCAGGATGGAGCAGCATCTCCTTCACTCTGTATGCAGGGATTCTCATATAGCAGCATCTCCTTCACTCTGTATGCAGGGATTCTCACATAGCAGCAGGATGGAGCAGCATCTCCTTCATTTGTTTGCAGGGATTGTAACTGCAGGATGAGGGTAGGCAGATCCGGGGCTGCGCCCTCGGGACGTTGTGTCCCTTTAAAGGGCCATTTAAAGGGACACAACGTCCCGAGCGTGCAGCCCCGGATCTGCCTACCCTCATCCTGCTGTTACATGCTGCTCCATCCTGCTGCTACACACGAATCCCTAAATTCAAAGTGAAGGAGATCTGCAGTGGATGTATCCATCCTTTTTTTTTCTACTCTTTGCTGCACAGATTACTCCATTTTTTCCAGTTATTTGTTTTGTGCATAGGAATTGCAGGCAGTATCGTGTATATATATTTGTTTGTACTTTAGTGTATTGAGTTATATATTTATGGTGATTTGGCACTAAGCACTTTAATGTTTTGCACTTTATATATCGTGGACCAGTTATGTGAATTGAGATACGTTTACTTCTATATAGGAGAGATTATATGAGTGCGGTATTATTTTGGTATCTTCTATAATTATATGGTGGGTCTTTTAGAGGTGACCCAGATACCTGCAACAAAAGGTGTGATTGAGTGCAAGTATCATTGGATATTTTGGACTAATGGGTTTAGACCTAAACATAACCTTGCTTGTGAAAAGCTGTGGATTTTCCTCTACTGTAGAGCAGGTGTTTGAAAATTTGCAGTGCTTCTGGCCACAGAGATAGTATGCCTGGGACAGAATTGGAAATCTTTAATTGGTACACTTAGCACCCTTAAAGGTACACTGTAGGGTCAGGAAAACAAACCTAGATTTCTGACCCTATATTTTTAAAAACCCCATCTAGCTCCCACTAACCTCCTTGCCCCCACCTTTATTCCAGTCTGCTGCTGCTGGCTCTGCATCTGATCTGAATCCCTGGCTGACATAATCAGAAGTGAAAGCATTGAATTGGCTGATAATGTCAAGGAGGCACATCAGGGGCAGAGCCAGCACAAGCCAAGCACAGCCCTGGTCAATCAGCATTTCTTCATAGAGATGCATTGAGTCAATGCATCTCTATGAGGAAAGTTCAGTGTCTGCATGCAGAGGGTGGAGACACTGAATGTCAGTGCTGCAAACTGTACAGCACTGCCCCAGGTAGCACCTCTAGTAGCCATTTGAGGAGTGGCCGGTGGAGGTATCCTTAGGCTGTAATATAAACACTGCCTTTTCTCTGAAAAGAGTGTTTACTGCAAAAACCCTACAGGAACTGACTATACTCACCAGAACAAATACAATAAGCTGTAGTTGTTCTAGTGAGTATAGTGTTGCATTAACTGCAAATTCACTAGATCCTAATAATGTAATGTACCCATTGCCATCTAATTCAGAAGCTCATGAAGGAACATCTTGAATGTGAAGAACCTAAATCAATCCTTTAGAATTTGCCACAGAACCTACACAAAAAGTTCACGTTGGGAGATCTCTTGCATGCATGACTGAATAAAGATCACCAGTCAAACATTTTAGCTTTGTGTTCAAATTGTATTTTTAGCTCGTACCATTTTTGTTTTTGTTTTTTTCAGTCCAAGCGTGTCTTGGTTTCCTGTCGCCTGCTAACAGAGGAGCCCTAATGACATGTGCTGTTGTCTTGTGGGTACTCCTTGGAACTCCTGCTGGTTATGTGTCTGCCAGAATGTACAAGAGTAAGTGACAAGTTTTCGTATTTGTAATTTTTATGTTCCTTTTGTCTACCCAATTTTTTGCCTATCTTTAACCCCTTAAAAACACAACTTCTGGAATAAAAGGGAATTGTGACGGAATATTTCCATCATGTGTCCTTAAGGGGTTAAATAATGATACTTGTGTGAGTAATTGTTGTTTAAAATAAAAAAGAAAAGTAAAACTTTTTTGCTAGTGCTCATATTTTAATTCAGAAAAATATCAAAAGTAAAATCATCCCTTTAAAAGAACTTTCACATTGGAGAGGTGTGTGTGCAGCATATAAAGCGTTGCTTATAATTGTTTGGCTTAATTTTTATAGATTTGTTATTGATAAAACTATATTATGGCATCACCAATGGCTCTTGCAAAGAGACTCCCCCCTACGCCCATGCTCCTTTTGGTATATGAAAATTGTCACTGTGCAAGTAAACTTCCATTTGCACTTCAAATCTTTCTGGGTGGCGATTATTTTTATTAAAATTGTCCTCCTTAGTTCCTTCACCTTCATAGCCCAGCTCACTCTCTCTCCTTCTACTGTTTGGTTGTTCCCCACACCAGTTTGACACTAGCTTTTTTTCAACAAAGGCATCTTGTCCATCAGTCTCCTCTCCTCTGACATGCTGCTATTCACCATGTGTGTTTATAACCCTCCTCCTCGAATGTAAGTAATTTGAGCTGGGCCTTCTTCACCTCCTCTCTCTGTTATTATTGTCTATGTTAACTCAGGACTCGACAAATCCCAGGTGCCAGGTCACCGTGGCAACTAGGATTTTTGTCCTGGCGTCTGGGATTTGCAGACCCATTCAGCCCCTGAGGTGGCTGGCTGTCTATTAGTGGAGGTGGGAGCGGCTGGCAGGTATATAAAGAGCATGGGCGTGCGTGTGGGTGGTTGGTTGGTCTTCCGGCCAGCTCAGTGTGCGTGCGGACGGGAGGCTCCTGGAGGTTTGTGGCAGATGGGCAGACGCATGGGGGTGCTGTAACCTCCCTTCCTGCTCTGCTCCCTCGCGCCCCCTCCAGTGATTCCAGGAGTCAGAATATGACGTCATTCCGGCCCCAGCATCACTAAACAGCGCTCTATGGAGCAGAGCAGGGAGATAACTGAAGAACCGCTGGACCACAGGGAAAGTTGAACCAAGGTATGGAGGCTGGGTGGTCACATAAATATGTGTGATTATTGCAGTGACAGTGAGTGAGTGTGTCAGTGGTGGTCACATAAATGTGTGTGATTGTTGCAGTGTGTGTGTGTGTGTTTTCACATGGGAAAGGTTTTTTTTTTACTAACCCTTTTCTCCCACACTGTACTGATAATGCTGCAGCTGGCCTTGCCTCCATGACTGCTATCATCAATTTTGATGATCTCGGCCAATCCAATGCTTTCATATAGGAAAGCATTTGGAGGCTATTGCGCCAATAAGCATCTCCTCATAGAGATGCATTGATGCAGGTCATGGAGACGCTATACGTAGATACTGTGCAGCACTGACCCAGAATGCACTCCAGAGCCGTCTGAGTGATGGTCACTAGAAGTGTTGCAAGGCAGCAATGTAAATACTGCCTTTTACATTGAAATGTGTGCAGGGACAGATTATAGACACGAGGACAACTACATTAAGCTTTAGTGGTTCTGGTGACTATAATGTCCCTTTTAAGAAGTGTATTTTTTTTAAAAAACCTGGGGCCTAACTTTTTTTGCTGGTTCCTAGATTCCAAGCAAATAACTACTTCTTGACCATGATCACCATTCTATAATTGTAAAGCGCTGCACTGTTATTTTGGCGCTATATAAATAATAATCTAAATTTAGTTAGTTGTACCCTGTATCATTTTTCTCTAATGGTGTTGGGAAAAAAAACAACTCTTCTTAAGGATTGAGAGTCCCCTTGAACATTACTTTACATTTTTGTTTTTTGTGTTTTTCTTTTGAGAGCAGGAAACATTATTCTGAAAGATTTTCCTACTTTTGTAAAAAAAATTAAACTGTCACATCCATTATATTCTTTAAGGAATAAAATTGTCATGTGTGTTAACTATGCCAATAATGATGCCCCAATCCCTCTAGTGTAGAGCCTTGGTTTGGACATTTATTTGGCTGGTACATGAAATTAGCTTGATGATCATTATCTTCAATTGTAAAATAAGTTCAGTATCCTATCTAAATGATAACATTCTGTATAAGATCTTTATTAGACCCTTGCCTTTGTCAACATTGTCTCTATTGCCCTGGAGAGAATGATGCGGCTATAGTAAACAAAATATATTGGTGGGAGTTTCCTGCGTCCTGTCTATTATAATATACTATATCATATAATATACTAAGGTTGATTTTATCCCTTTTGATTAAATTTATCTCACCAGTTAAAAAAAAAAAAAAAATAGCCTGAATAGCTAAAATATTTACATTACCTTAAAAAAAATTACAGAATTTCTCACACTGCCATTTTTTTTGTTTGCTTAGGAACTTGTATTCGTATTTCTAATTGCACAAGCTGGATATTTTTAGAATGGGTTTTAGTTCTAATATATAAATAATATATATATGGTTTTTTTTTCTGCAGCATTTGGAGGCGAGAAATGGAAATCAAATGTACTGTTAACATCATTTTTATGCCCTGGGTAGGTATCTTTTGCTCTGTTCTTTGGCACATTTACATTAATGTAGTGGTATTGATGCATCAATCCTGTCCCTTTCGTGTGACAATGTAAAATGCCTTGTGTTTGTGTTTGCCAGAGAATGTACCTCTAGTTGCTGTGAGACTGATGCACATAAGAGGCACTTCCTTATGAAGGAAGCCATTTGCATTCTTCATATTGGCTTCATCACACAGCACGATGATGCCAAACAGATCTAATGCTTTTAATAGCATTGGATTCGGTGCTTTTCTGAGAGAAGTATTTGAGTGGTGGAGTGCTGCGGACTTGCTGTAGGTCCCCGGTATTTTTCTGTGGAGTATTGGATTAAACAGCGATCATCACAACTGATCTCATTGTGGGTGGAATGGCTACCAAGAGGAAACTGTCTCCACACTGGATTACATGTGAAGGCTAAATTGGAATTACTGGTTGTTGTGCTGTGTGTATGGGTTTGTTTTTTACATACATTGCAGTTACCTTCTAACATTTGTATATAAAGGTGCTATCTCTGCTCCAAAAATGTAAATCATTATAATTTTTTCAATATACCCAGCATGGTGTAAGTCCTATTTACAATCCTTTATTTCATTGCCATTAACTCATGATTGTTGCAAATATTTTTATATAATGAGAAATAGCTGTTGTGAACAACAGTTGGTATCCATCAAAGTCGAACACAACTTTCTTTTTTTTTATGTTCATCTAAGAATCTATTTGTGTTAAACCAAAAATACTATAAAATGTCAATGTCCTTCATCCCAGAAAAGTGACTAGGAATCATGGGCCTTGTGGACTTTTATCTATGAAGGAGGGACGCCTGAATCATGAGACATTGCCATTTTAAAGTTTGATGGAGCTTCCAGTCCTGTGCTAGAAAAGTAAAACCGAACCCAATTTACACCCTGCTAATGAATGTACATTGGATGACTGGAGAGTCCGATTTGATATTAAGATTAGTGCTAAAGAAATTGCTAGCAAATGTAGAGAAAATGTAGGTTTTATTTAGTTTGCTTATGGTGAACATGTTTCAGACTCCAAAGTTATTGTACGGTTTATAAATTGATTTCTAATTCTGAACAAATTCTGTTTCTTCTCATAGGATAATTTTTGCAGATTTCTTCATTATGAATATTATCTTATGGCAGAAAGGTTCATCTGCTGCAATTCCATTTGGCACACTGGTGGCCATTCTAGCAATGTGGTTTGGTATCTCTGTCCCATTAACCTTTCTTGGGGCATACTTTGGATTCAAGCAAAGGGTAAGCTATTAGAAGGACACTATAGTTGCTAAAACAACTTTATCTTAATGAAGCCGTTTTGGTGTCTGGATCATGCCCCTGCAGTCTCACTGGTCAGTTGTCTGCCATTTAGGAGTTAAAACCTAGTCACATCTCCCTATATGTGACTTACACATCCTTTAAAGCTAGATCTAATGTTTAAACTTCCTTTATTGCACATTCTGTATAATTTTCGAATTTCAGATCTCCTGCTTTATCACTAGCCTGCTAGAGCTCCTGTGTGTGTGGTTAAAGTTCAATTTACAGAGCAGAAGATACAATCTTGTAAATTAATTTAAAACCAAAGTAGAATTTCCTATTAAGAACATACTTACACCCCTTCCCCCGAAAGCAAGCAAACACTACAACATAATTTGAAACCATGTTGTGGTTTACACTATATTTGTGTAAACAAATGTCATGTTCTTATTAAAATACATTGCATGTATCAACTGTCCAGACTTCAGTATGCTGAAGCCAATCTGCCTCAATAGCCATCAGTGAATCCCTCTTTATAAACACATCCTTCACTGAGTGACTGCATATCTAAACTACATACATATAGTAATTGTTCCATCTAGAAAATAAGTTCTGTAAAAAAAACACAACATACAAATACATATCACACAAATGAACTACTAAAACAAGCTATATACACAAAACACTCAGATCTCATTGCAGTAAGACTTCTGCAATCACCGAGACATTTACCTCCTCACATGTAGGAGGAGAGACTGGGAGTAATTTAGCGTGTAAACGTTGGCCAAATATTATTTTTTTTTAATTCATGTTTTAAAATAATATAATATATATCATACAATTTTGATATATATATTAAACTAATTTGCATAAACTAATTTGCATATGCCCACCCAGAATCCTTTGCGGTTGTAACATCACTGCTGATTTGGGATTTCTGTGGGAAAAGCAAGTCTTATGGCTTGACTGGTGTGCAGATTTTTGTTTAGCATTGTATTAACTATCCACATACTTCAGGTGGAAGGGGTTTTCAATCACAATTTTTCCCCACCATAATCTATTTGGATCTTGCTTCACAAGCACTACCAAGCCTCCATAAGCAAACCAGTAACCAACCTCATGCTGAAGAGTTGCATTAACAACGAAACAGCTGTCCATGAGTGGTTCACTGGTTTTGCACCTTATCCTAAGTTGTGTTCCAAGCAGTTGTATACTGCAAACACAAATTAAAAGGAATCCATGTTTAAAATGGAATGAGGCAAAAATGTGATTCTTTGTTAAACTAATTTGCATATGCCCACCCAGAATCCTTTGCGGTTGTAACATCACTGCTGATTTGGGATTTCTGTGGGAAAAGCAAGTCTTATGGCTTGACTGGTGTGCAGATTTTTGTTTAGCATTGTATTAACTATATATATATATATATATATATATAATGTGTAAAAAACAGATAAAATTCTTATCTTGTAATACCTTTTTTATTGGACTAACAGAATTTTTTAATGACAAGCTTTCGGGAGAACCTCCCTTTCTCAAGTCTGAAGCATTTCTGAGCAAAACGACACATAGAATTCAAAGTTGAGTGATACAGGGGTTAAAGCGACATGAGTGTAGATAAGACACAGGTTTGTTAGAAAATAGACACCATCTTAGCAGAGGGTCATAAATATCTTGTTGAAGAGAAGAGTAGGGGGGAGAGAGGGAAAAGAAAAACAAACAAGCAGACAGTGCACAGGATGATACACTTTATACATGCACACACACAGAAATATGTATATGTGAACGCATAAACATATGTATATATACATAAACACATATACATACATGCACATGGACTCATATACACAAATATAAATGCACAGTAATATATATAAGCATTCATGCATACGAGTATGGGAAAGCATAGGTCTACACATAGTACTTTGTATATAGATAGAATAAACATATAGGAATGCATTTTAAAGTGTTGGTACATATGACAGAACAGTAAGATAATGCTGGGAGAGTGTTCATGTAAAGTGTTGGTAGTGGGACAGGAATCCCAAATCAATATTTAGTCCTCTCTTCTTGCTGTTAAACCATTTAATCATTCTGGCTTCAAAGGCTTTTCTTTCCTGGGTATTTTTAAAACCCCATTTCAGTACTTTGATTTTTAGGTCCTTCAGTGAGTGGCCAGGTTGGGTAAAGTGGTGTCCCACAGGAGTGCAGTATGATTCTTCTTTGTGGTGTTTAATAGAGTGTCTGTGCATATTCATTCTGCCATTTAATGGCTGGGTGGTTTCCCCAATGTAGCATCCTAGGTGACATTTTATGCATTGAATCATGTATACCACATTGCTGGATGTGCAGGAGTATGAACCTTTAATGCTGTAGGTTTTATTGTTGTGTGTGGCTGTGTTGTCTGTGCATATGTGCTGACACAGTTTGCAGCAAGGTTTTTTGCATTGACTGGTCCCGTTTTCTTCATTCTTACCATCAGTGGGCAGCTTCCTGTTGATTCATTTTTGTTGGAGGTTTGGTGGTTGTCTGAAGGCCAAAATGGGTGTTTCAGGGAAAATGTTTTTCAGAGTCTCATCTTCTGTTAATATTGGTTGTAGGTCTTTGATGATTTTCCGTATTTCCTCAAGAGCTGGGTTGTAGGTGACCACAAGTGGCACTCGTGTGCATATTTTTTTCTCTCTGTATTGTAGCAGTAGTGGCGTTTTTACAGCAGAGTTGATTTGTTTGGTAATAGTCTTTGGTTTGTAGCCTTTCTGTCTCATAGATTGGGAGAGTACATTTAGATGGGGATTACGGTCAGAGCATATGCAATGGTACCTAGTGGCTTGGCTATAGATGATGCCCTGTTTAGTATGAGAGGGGTGGAAGCTGGAGCTGTGTAGGTAACTGCACCTGTCTGTGGGTTTTCTGTAAACCGAGGTGTGGATTGTGCCATTATTACAGATCACAGTGGTGTCCAGAAAATTCACAGATCTAGTGGAATATTCAATTTTGAGTTTGATTGGTGGATGAAATGTGTTGTCATGGAACTGTATCAGTTTTTCTTCGCTTTCAGTCCAAATTATGAAGATATCTTCAATATAGCGATAATATTTGTATGGTTTGGTGTGTTGGATTTCTAGGAATCTCTGTTCAAGATCTGCCATAAATAGATTAGCATATTGGGGTGCCATCTTAGTGCCCATAGCAGTGACCATGGTTTGTAGGTAAACCTCATTGTTGAAACTGAAGTAGTTATGTGTGAGGATTAATAGTGCCAGTTCTGTGATAATTCGGGGGCTGTATTTTTGGTTGTTGACATGAGAGAGAAAATGGAAGCAAGCATTGATGCCATCTGTATGTGGAATGTTGCTGTACAGAGATTCCACATCCATGGTTACAAGGATGGTGTTAGCAGGGAGATTGGTGATTTGGCTGAGTTTGTTGAGGAAGTCGGTTGTGTCTTTTATGAAGCTGTTAGTGTTGGTGACTAGAGGTTTTAGGGTATTTTCTACCAGTCCTGTGCACTGTCTGCTTGTTTGTTTTTTCTTTTCCCTCTCTCCCCCCTACTCTTCTCTTCAACAAGATATTTATGACCCTCTGCTAAGATGGTGTCTATTTTCTAACAAACCTGTGTCTTATCTACACTCATGTCGCTTTAACCCCTGTATCACAACTCAAGTTTGAATTCTATGTGTCGTTTTGCTCAGAAATGCTTCAGACTTGAGAAAGGGAGGTTCTCCCAAAAGCTTGTCATTAAAAAATTCTGTTAGTCCAATAAAAAAGGTATTACAAGATAAGAATTTTATCTGTTTTTTACATCTACATCACTGGACTAATACGGCTACAATCTCTATTTGAACACTATGGAAGATACCGCATACAGCCGCCTAAAAAAGCAAATCTACAAGATGACCACAAAAGAAGTACAGCTCAACAGCGACATACACTTTCTATCCATCTGCAAGAAAAGACAGCTGATCCCCAAAGGCCTAAAAATCAAAAATCCACTGGCTAATACGCAGAAAACACAGTATGCTGAAAACCTGTGTAAACGCACTAGTGAGAAACTAAGAAACCATCTCATCCACCAGCTCTACAACAAGAAATATAGCATACAACATAAAAAACAATATCTACTCCAAAATCTACATGAGGAGAATACATATATTGCTAAACAACTAGAACATGATCTACACTATTTTTACAAAAAGCAACAAAGGGACCCTTTTAAGAAGAAAAATAATAAACTCATCAGACTACAGCAGGATTATCACAAACATTTGGCAGAGAAAGAGAAATGGCAAGAGAAATCTGGTATTGTTAACATTTCGGATTACAAACTATCTGACCCAGAAACATCAGTTCTCTCCAAAGGACTATCATTTTGCCCTAGCACAAAACTTGATGACATTGGGCTCTACTCTGACGTGGAAGAATTTTTCAGAAGGATGCGACTTAAGGAATACTTCCATGACAAAGAGAGCACTGAAACCACAATGGATTACAACAACCGGAAAAAAAACACTAATTTCAGTCCTGCACCAGGACGAAATGCCAAACTGGACAGTTACATTGAAAGTTTCCGTCTAAGAACAGTATCCTTGACAACCAAGCAAAACCAAAAGAAAATGTTTCATAATCTCTCAGTACAGGAACAAATGGCTATAAATGACCTGAAAAATAATCATGCTATCACCATCAAACCAGCAGACAAGGGAGGAGCAGTAGTGATAATGAACACCCAGGACTACATAAAAGAGGGTGACAGGCAATTGTCAGATGACAAATACTATAGAAAACTAAATGAAGACCCCACCAAGGAATATACATCACAACTTAGGGAGCTCATTAAATCCTTCCCTGAGAACTTACACCTAGAACTGCAATCACTCATACCAACTAGTCCCTGCATGGGCACTTTCTATATGCTTCCCAAAATTCACAAAGCAGGTAATCCTGGAAGACCCATAATTACAGGAATGGGAACTCTCACAGAACAGATCTCAGGACTGGTAGAAAATACCCTAAAACCTCTAGTCACCAACACTAACAGCTTCATAAAAGACACAACCGACTTCCTCAACAAACTCAGCCAAATCACCAATCTCCCTGCTAACACCATCCTTGTAACCATGGATGTGGAATCTCTGTACAGCAACATTCCACATACAGATGGCATCAATGCTTGCTTCCATTTTCTCTCTCATGTCAACAACCAAAAATACAGCCCCCGAATTATCACAGAACTGGCACTATTTATCCTCACACATAACTACTTCAGTTTCAACAATGAGGTTTACCTACAAACCATGGGCACTGCTATGGGCACTAAGATGGCACCCCAATATGCTAATCTGTTTATGGCAGATCTTGAACAGAGATTCCTAGATAACCAACACACCAAACCATACAAATATTATCGCTACATCGATGATATCTTCATAATTTGGACTGAAAGCAAAGAAAAACTGATACAGTTCCATGACTCTTTCAACACATTCCATCCATCAATCAAACTAAAAATGGAATATTCCACTAGATCTGTGAATTTTCTGGACACAACTGTGACATGTAATAATGGCACAATCCACACCTCGGTTTACAGAAAACCCACAGACAGGTGCAGTTACCTACACAGCTCCAGCTTCCACCCCTCTCATACTAAACAGGGCATCATTTACAGCCAAGCCACTAGGTACCATCGCATATGCTCTGATCCTAATGACCGTAATTCCCATCTAAATGTACTCTCCCAATCTATGAGACAGAAAGGCTACAAACCAAAGACTATTACCAAACAAATCAACTCTGCTGTAAAAACGCCACGTACGCGCCTGCTACAATACAGAGAGAAAAAAATATGCACACGAGTGCCACTTGTGGTCACCTACAACCCTGCTCTTGAGGAAATACGGAAAATCATCAAAGACCTACAACCAATATTAACAGAAGATGAGACTCTGAAAAACATTTTCCCTGAAACACCCATTTTGGCCTTCAGACAACCACCAAACCTCCAACAAAAATTAATCAACAGGAGGCTGCCCACTGATGGTAAGAACGAAGAAAACGGGACCAGTCAATGCAAAAAACCTCGCTGCAAACTGTGTCAGCACATATGCACAGACAACACAGCCACACACAACAATAAAACCTACAGCATTAAAGGTTCATACTCCTGCACATCCAGCAATGTGGTATACATGATTCAATGCATAAAATGTCACCTAGGATGCTACATTGGGGAAACCACCCAGCCATTAAATGGCAGAATGAATATGCACAGACACTCTATTAAACACCACAAAGAAGAATCATACTGCACTCCTGTGGGACACCACTTTACCCAACCTGGCCACTCACTGAAGGACCTAAAAATCAAAGTACTGAAAGGGGGTTTTAAAAATACCCAGGAAAGAAAAGCCTTTGAAGCCAGAATGATTAAATGGTTTAACAGCAAGAAGAGAGGACTAAATATTGATTTGGGATTCCTGTCCCACTACCAACACTTTACATGAACACTCTCCCAGCATTATCTTACTGTTCTGTCATATGTACCAACACTTTAAAATGCATTCCTATATGTTTATTCTATCTATATACAAAGTACTATGTGTAGACCTATGCTTTCCCATACTCGTATGCATGAATGCTTATATATATTACTGTGCATTTATATTTGTGTATATGAGTCCATGTGCATGTATGTATATGTGTTTATGTATATATACATATGTTTATGCGTTCACATATACATATTTCTGTGTGTGTGCATGTATAAAGTGTATCATCCTGTGCACTGTCTGCTTGTTTGTTTTTCTTTTCCCTCTCTCCCCCCTACTCTTCTCTTCAACAAGATATTTATGACCCTCTGCTAAGATGGTGTCTATTTTCTAACAAACCTGTGTCTTATCTACACTCATGTCGCTTTAACCCCTGTATCACAACTCAACTTTGAATTCTATGTGTCGTTTTGCTCAGAAATGCTTCAGACTTGAGAAAGGAATCCCGAAAGCTTGTCATTAAAAAATTCTGTTAGTCCAATAAAAAAGGTATTACAAGATAAGAATTTTATCTGTTTTTTACATCTACATCACTGGACTAATACGGCTACAATCTCTATGTATATATATATATATATATATATATATATAATGACTTATGAACCACTGTCAAAACTAAACAAGCAATTTAATTAAATACACACAAATATTATAAATATTTGTATATGAAATAAGTAAACTATGTACAGAAATAAAATAAAGTGTTAAGTAATTAATGACAACATGGTACAAAAAAAACCCAGGAAGCAGAATATGTATTCAGTCAGGTGGGAACATTGTTAAAGTCAGAATTTATCTTTCACATCATCTTCCCACATTGACCATTCATGCTGCAATATAGATGTGAAAAGTAGATGTATCACGAAAAACCAATTTACACCTTTTATTTTCAAAAACGAGAGATAAGACCTCACCCACAGTAAAGTTTATTCTCACCCACAGAGTGTGTAAACTTGAACACCTGCCTCCTGGCATCACCAGTGGTTTGCTATAGATCACCTCATAAACTTACTACAAGCGAAGTAGTCATTTGTCATTATATATTTCAAATGTGCGTGACAGGATGTTCCCATTGCCATACCATTCTAAGACTATGGTCTCAGACTGTCCCTCGCTGCCTCCTGCCTCTAGTTTATTGGTGCGTACTGCCTGTCTGGGTCTCTATACAGCAACAGTCAATATGGAATGTGCACATGTGTCCATTTTGCAGTATTCATACACATGTCCAATTTACGCCCTACGTTCAGTAAATATATGCCCTAGTGGTTATGCTGTTAGTAGCACTGTTCCCTGGTAATGGGGCAAATGGTTTAAGCCCCCAATAATGATGACTTAACCACATCCGACTTCTGTAGAGCTGCTGAAGTCGGACGATGTCGATACAGACGCTCATTCATTGGTTTGAGAGCATCAGTGGAGTGTTCTAAACCAATGAATGAGTGTCCGTTCATACAAAATATGCATTAAATTAGCTTTAGCCACCTGAGTTCTGATGTCCAAATGACACTGCCAGAAGTAGCGTTGGACCTCCGGCAGGTAGCCCCAGTATCATTCTAAAACGCTGCACATATAGATTCCAATCACCATGACCACTTCAAAACACTGAAGTGTTCATGGTATTTGGAATAACCCTGTAAGTAATTGTATTAAACAAGTAATATATTTTCATGGTGAAGACATTAATTAAAAAATGTTTTTTTATTTTTTTTTAAAGGCAATTGAACACCCTGTTCGAACAAATCAGATACCCCGTCAAATCCCACAGCAATCCTTCTTCACAAAATCATTCCCTGGCATCATTATGGGTGGAATTTTGCCCTTTGGATGTATTTTCATTCAGCTGTTTTTCATTCTCAATAGTATTTGGTAAGTACTTATTCTACTATTATGTCTTTTGTTGCTTACTGATCTATTTCCAAATGAACAATTGGCAGTTGTCTGTGTACTGCAATTCTGAGGTGTGTCAAAAATGGGTGAGCAGTTTTATAAAGTTGACTGACAGCTGACATTTCTTTTCACTTTAACACTTCATTGTCAACATTTCTATGTTATATATCAGGTGCATCTTCTTTCTCTGAGACTCTCTTCCACTAGAAAGTGGGATTGTCACCTCAGAATTAAAGGTGCGTTCTAACCACTGGCTAGGTGAATTTTTTTTAAAAGTTTTGTAATTCACTTAGTACCAATAGCAAAGTTACCATTCAAGCCATACACTTGGACATACATGGACAAAAGTATTGGGACACACCTCCTAATGATTGAATTTGGGTGTTTTTATTCAGGCCCATTGCCACAGGGGTATAAAAGCAAGAACCTAGCCATGCATTTTGCATTTACAAACCTGTATGAAATAAATGGGTCGTTGAATTTTAGCATGGTACTGTGACAGAATGTCAGTTCATGAATTTTCATCCCCGAAGAGTGGAAGCGGTAATACCTGCAGAGGGGGGGACCAACCACTTATTAATGTTTATGCATTTATAATGTGCTTAAATAAAAGTCCCTGTTGGTGTAATGGTGAGGTGTCCTAGTACTTTTGTCCATGTAGTTATTGAAGTCCTAAGATTTCTTTTGAGAAGCCCATGACTAGTTGTGCAGATAATCATGGGGAAAAAGAAGCTAGTGTCTCTGGTTAGTGCAGTGAAAGTGCATGTTTAGACCTACCTCTAATGCCAACTCTACCCAGTAACTAAAAAGTGCATTTCGAGGACAAAAAAAAGTAAATTGCTCATGCTGTATATTTGCAATATGCTTTGTAAATGGGTACAGGATTCAGTAGCTACTCCTATTTATGTCCCGTTTCATACCACAGCCAAGTTATGTGAGCCACATAAAGTTCTACACCCATATTTGTTATTTAAATGATGAAGTGCAATTCCACACCTTACATTGATGCTTGGATTGCTGGGTGTTAATTATTCACAGTTGGGTGGTAGAATCAGGGCAAACCTAATGGCAGGTTTAGGAGAAAGCAGATGAGTGGCCTTTGCATAACTTGATGGATATTTTGTGTTTCTTGTAATGTGTTAGCAATTTGTTCCATGTTACGCACAGGTGAGTGTATTTTTCACCATGAATTGCACTGTATTGTTCACATACAGGCAAAGGCAAGGGTTCTTGTGTGGATTTATTATTTTAGTATCGTTTGAAAAGGTGGGAGGATGTTTCAGGTTATGAAATAAACTAGCAATTAAGATACCAAGAGCACTCTTGAGAAGCAAGAAAATTAGTTAGTGATATTCTGAGAAAAACTGTGCCATTACTATAGTAATAAAGTGTTATTTAATGCTTTAGAGGTTATAAGTTCCTCTTTATTTTGTGAATGCATGGCCTAATTCTTTCAGTCACATCTGTACTTCTTATCATCTTTGCATAGTTGTATTTTGCTTGAGATTTAAAGCAACACTCCACGCACATAAAGCACTTGATCTCATTCAGAAACACAAGAAAGCCGTGATTATGTGCATCTGCGCAGTTCCAGAATAGAAGCTTCTCAATGAGAAGCATCTGATTGGTGAATTCCCTGACACAGATTGGGTAAAAAGAGGCGGGCTTGCAAAGACTGCAGCTTTTGCAAGTTGTGTTTCAACAGAGAAAATATATATTATATATAATTTTTTTATTTATTTTTTTGATATACCTACTAAATTAGTGGTTGAAGGATGTCTCTGCAAGTGCTCCCCTCTGACACTCACAAATTCCATCCCTCTGTTCCATTGGCATTTTATTCCTATAAACAAAGGCATTTTGCAATATGTGAATATCACCTTTTGGTCTCCTAATTTACATTTTCAGTTACATATATAGCTGCCAGGCCACAGATCAATGTACAGTTATTTGAAATAAACTCTGACCATACCCCCTAAAGGAAAAGTTTCCCTTTTTGGCCATTTGATATCTCTCCGCATGTATGATTTGAGCTTTAAGGTTACATCAAATTCTGATTTCAGCAGCGTTTATTAAAATCAGTTACTACAATTGCTGTTCTTTTTCTGGAAAATAGATAATTGTGGCATTATTGCACCCATACAAATACGCTCTTACCATGACATCGCAGCATTCCCCAAAAAATTTGTTTTGTAGACACTGATGTAATGCACTCAATATGTAATGATTTAATTTCACAAAGCACATGCTTTTATTTATGCCATCCAGTAAACAATGCAACTGGAATCACACCGACTTGTTTCTCTGCTCTCCTGAACTGCTGTACTCCATAGCAGAAAGTAGTTCATTACTTGTTTTCATTAAAACGTTTAATCAAAATTGTGTTTAAAAATCCAAGCCAAGTAACAGGCCTGAGTGACAGGTCTGCTTTCTTAGAAAATTTGGTTTGTGCAGTAAATGTATTGTAGTATTTATATACATATATTTGACAATATGACTTGGGCCTTTAATCTCCGTATAAAGCCAACAATGGCATTCCACAATGACAGATGCAATATGGAGATATAATCACATAGGAGATTGTGCCATCTCCTTTGAACCTTGTATCCCTACCAGTGAGGTAAAACTCAACTGTTAAGATGTAAAACTATTGTTTTTCATTTGTGCAGTTTTTTTATTGTAATGCCATCATGTCAATCCTTTTTGACATTCATTCTTTGAATCTCCTCAATAATTGTGATGTTTATTTCCTCGCAAACTAATCACATCTTCATTGCAAATACGTGGCCACATTCTGCTAGAGAACAGAATTTTAAAGGTTTTAACAGTGTACCGGCAATATTATTAATGGATTGTATATCTTTTAGTGTTCCATTCACTGCTAAAACCACACATAAGTAGTCCAAATTAGCTTCTTCAAATTGTATTATGAATTGAATGCTACAGACAGAGTTTACTTTTAACCAAGTATTTTTGTGCATAGTCCTCTGTTCTTAATGAGAGAACCTCAAAAATAATGTTAAATGTTGATTTGCATGCTTGGATTGCATATGTACCTTGTTTCTGCTCTCCTTTTGTTTAATGCAGTGTTGCCCAATTCATTACCAGCCCTGTCTAATTAGTGACCTACTCTCAGTTGAATAAGTGATGTGCTTTTATGTATTTAACCATTCATTCTATATGTTTCACTGCATCTGTTTTGTTTTGTAGGTCTCATCAAATGTACTATATGTTCGGTGTCCTGTTTCTGGTATTCATAATACTCCTGATTACTTGCTCAGAAGCTACCATCTTACTGTGTTACTTTCATCTTTGTGCCGAGGTATTTTCTGTAATGTGTGTGCTATTATTTGTTATGAAGATTTTTCTGAAAAGAGCAAGATGTAAAAAAAAAAAAAAAAAAAAAAATAATTTTTTTAAGGAGCATGCATTTACATTTTATAGATCTAATTGTGAAACTGCAACACAAATTTCCAATTTTTTCTGATACGTGGTTTCCATTTGGGGGAGGTGTAATGTCTCAAAACAAAATCATATAATTCGAAATGTATTCAGTAACAATTTGTTAAAAAAAATATTCAACGATATTCCATACATAGATGTGTGCCATCTATCATTCAAATAATACATTTTAAAGGAACAATCCAAGTACCATAACTAATTCTCAGTAGTAGTTATGGTACAAGGATTTCTCTGAAGTCCCCCAAGTACCAACAAATAGTCAAATCCTTTGCTAACAGTTTGATTTCTTATGCTAATATCTGCCAGGCACTGGTCTTTTCCTCTTCTCTTCCTGTATGGAGAATGGAAGCTCTTGCTAGGAGCTTCTATAAAGCTGTCCTGAGCTAAGCAGTGCATGGCTTATTAGCTGAGAGAGTCAGCTGACTGTTCTCTTCCTGTGAGCTAAGCCCTGCACTGCTCAGCTTATCTCAGGTAGACCAGGGCACTCCTGGTACCATAACCACTTCAGTGCACTGAAGGAAAGTAACTTAAAAATATTGAACATTATAGGTTATATAAGAACCAAAACAAACCCAGTATGTTTAAAGAGGTAGTCTATGTGCAGAAGCAAATGCTACTTATTTGTAGTTGTTATGGTGCTATGAGTGTGACTGAAAATGCTGGGATTCCACCTGAATTTTTTTGAAGCAATGTGATAAAATATGTGGTTGTCCCCAGTACCCAAAGCCAGGCTCATTTTACATACACAACTAGATCTGAGCTGTCTCACAGGAGAGAAATGAGCTGCTAAACATGCATGTGCAGTCCATGCCCCTTGCCAAAGATAGGATCTGGCATGTTCATGCCTGAAATTACTCTTGGGCATAAATTACTAATCCAATTAATGCCTGCCTTGTAGGGATTTAAGGGCTAAGTGTTTTTTCTTAGTGTGAGAGAGGTCTCTCTGCAGCTCAAAGCAGAGTCACAAAAGAGTGCACTGATTGAAAGGTGAGTTAATGTAATTCATTTACTTGTTTTTAATATGTTTGCTTCCGAAGAAGTAAAAAATAAATTGGATTTTTTTTTTTATTGCTTGTATAACTGTGCCTAGTTATCCTTGTGCTGTGTTAACCCATTGCATTCCACTTTCAATGCATGAGATTTTGGCCAGGTATTGTTTTAATCCTGCTACTTGTTGGTTATTTCTGCACATTTGCGTGTATTTAGTAGCCATTTAATTTATTTATTTATTCTTTGCAGGATTACCATTGGTGGTGGCGATCATTTTTGACAAGTGGCTTCACTGCTTTTTACCTTTTTGTGTATGCAATTCATTATTTTTTCTCTAAGCTCCAAATAACAGGAACTGCCAGCACCATTTTGTACTTTGGGTACACTCTGATTATGGTCTTAATTTTTTTCCTGTTTACAGGTGAGTGCCAATTAGAGAATAATTATTGGGATTATTATCAAGCTTCCTATTGTGCTTGATCATAAATTATAGAGGAACATAGATGGGACAGCCTATGCTTTTCTGTTTGTTAAAATAAATCTCCAAGTCCCCTAAACACTACAGCAGGGATAGGCAACCTTTGGCACTCCAGATGTTGTGGACTACATCCCCCATAATGCTCTTGCACACATAATGCTGGCAAAGCATCATGGGAGGTGTAGTCCAAAACAACTGCAGTGCCGAAGGTTACCTATGCCTGCACTACAGTGTGTTTTTAGGACATTTTAACTCTTTATCTGGGGTTTGCTGAGCACTGCTCTTCACTGCTGAGGCAGAGCCGAAAGCTCTGAGTTTAGCTCATTGACTGAGAGCAATCATCTGATGGTTGGACTATTTTCAATGGTGGGTAGGAAGAAGCCGTGCAGGTGACTTGAGAAAGGAAAGCTGTATTGACATGCGGATGAAATGAAAAGCCAAAAATGTTGGATAGGGAGAGGAAGCAGTTCTCGCTCAATTCATAATCCTTTACATTCAATTTTATTTCTAACGTCAACAAAGAGATCAGCACAATAGATATATTTGCAGTTTCACTTTTAATGAAGTGTGAATGAGCACTGCTCTTTGTACTTTGTCTCCCGGCCAATTCAGTATCTTCCAAAGCATAGCAGCAGAGAGGGCGAGACAGAGACATGGGTCTTTCTCTACCTTTATCTCTGTGTCTCTCTCGTATTTTTACCCCCCACCCCACGAGTATGTTAGTGTGATGCCCCTCCAGAGCATGCAGTGTTCTTGGATAAAATACATTTTTCTTTTTTTCTTTTATTTAGGGGTTTGGGGGGTGTTGTGAAATGTAAGCATGCGCTGAGTTTGCGACTTGTCTGTGCTGTCCTCAATAGTGGTATACCAGAGAACAAAAGTGGTACAGGGCTGATAGTGTGTTGTGCATGTGTGGGGATGCTCACTGTGGTGTTGTGTGTATTTGGAGGTTGCTTATTAGATTGCATGTGTGTAGAGCAAACTCTTTATGTGTGTGGCTGTAGTGTGTGTGTGTGTTTGTGTTTCTGTAGTGTGGGCGAGCATGTGCATATATAGGGATGGGCTGTAGTGTATGTGTTTCTGGGCTGTAAAGTATGTGTGTGTTTTTATAGGGCCTGTTGAGTGTGTGTCTAGGGGACGTTGTATGTGCATGTCAGAGCTGTGTTGTGTGTGAGTGTATCTAGGGGCTTTAGTGTGTGTGTGTGTGTATAGGGGGTATAGTGTGTGTATAGAGCAGGGGTTCTCAATTCATTTTTCCTGTGGAACCCTTTGACATAGTGTATCAACATTGTGAAACCCCTAACCTCCCTCCCCCCAAAAAAATATAAATAGCGCCGTTGCATAAACCTTTCAATTAGCAGAGCGTAATGTCTTCTTTGATGGAATTTTTTTTTTTTTTTTTTAACATACAATATCTCACAAATGTGAGTACACTCCTCACGTTTTTGTAAATATTTTATTATATCTTTTCATGTGACAACACTGAAGAAATGACACTCTGCTACAATGTAAAGTAGGAAGTGTACAGCTTGTATAACAGTGTAAATGTGCTGTTCCCTGAGTGAGTACACCTCTAAGTGGAAATGTCCAAATTGCACCCAATTAGCCATTTTCCCTCCCGGTGTCATGTGACTCGTGAGTGTTACAAGGTCTTAGGTGTGAATGGGGAGCAGGTGTGTTAAATTTGGTGTTATCGCTCTCACAATCTCTCATACTGGTCACTGAAAGTTCAGCATTGCACCTCATGGCAAAGAAATCTGAAAAAAAAGAATTGTTGCTCTACATACAGATGGCCTAGGCTATAAGAAGATTGCCAAGACCCTGAAACTGAGCTGCAGCATGGTTGGCAAGACCATACAGCAGTTTCACAGGACAGGTTCCACACAGAACAGGCCTCGCCATGGTCGACCAAAGAAGTTGCGTGCACATGCTCAGCATCATATTTAGAGGTTGTCTTTGGGAAATACACGTATAAGCACTGCCAGCATTGCTGCATAGGTTGAACGGGTGGGGGTTAGCCTGTCAGTGCTCAGGCCATACGCTGCACACTGCATCAAATTGGTCTGCATATCTTTCTTGTGCATCTAAAGATGATGCACAAGAAAGCCCGCAAACATGTCCTGTGGTCCGATGAGACCAAGATAAACTTATTTGGTTCAGATGGTGTCAAGCGTGTGTGGCGGCAACCAGGTGAGGAGTACAAAGACAAGTGTGTCTTGCCTACAGGCAAGCATGGTGGTGGGAGTGTCATGGTCTGGGCCTGCATGAGTGCTGCCCGCACTGGGGAGCTACAATTCATTGAGGGAACCATAAATGCCAACATATACTGTGACATACTGAAGCAGAGCATGATCCCCTCCCTTCGGAGACTGGGCCGCAGGGCAGTATTCCAACATGATAACGACCCCAAACCCCAAAGACAACCACTGCCTTGCTAAAGAAGCTGAAGGTAAAGGTGATGGACTGGCCAAGCATGTCTCCAGCCCTAAACCCTATTGAGCATCTGTGGGGCATCCTCAAACGGAAGGTGGGGGAGCACAAGGTCTCTAACATCCACCAGCTCCGTAATGTCGTCAAAGAGGAGTGGAAGAGGACTCTGGTGGCAACCTGTGAAGCTCTGGTGAACTCCATGCCCATGATGGTTAAGGCAGTACTAGAAAATAATGGTGGCCACACAAAATATTGACACTTTGGGCCCAATTTGGACATTTCCACTTAAGGGTGTACTCATTTTTGTTGCCAACGGTTTAGACATTAATGGCTGTGTGTTGAGTTATTTTGAAGGGACAGCAAATTTACACTGTTATACAGGCTGTAAACTTACTACTTTACATTGTAGCAGAGTGTCATTTCTTCAGTGTTGTCACATGAAAAGTTATAATAAAATATTTACAAAAATGTGAGGGGTGTACTCACTTTTGTGAGATACTCTGTATACACTAATTTATACATATAGTAAACAGATTGTAGTATATAGAAGCAGGTGTGCTTCTGTGTATAGAGTTGGTGTTTATATATAATTTTAGCATTTTAATACAGGTATGCGTTTGTATGTAATGGGTGCATTTGCGTGCAGAGGTGTGTTTGGATGTAGTGTTGGATTTTAAATGCAGATGTACATTTGTGTGTAGTATTGGTGTTTGAGTGTTTGTGTATAATTTTGGAGTTAGAATTCAGGGGTGTGTTTGCATGTCATGTTTGTGTTTACAGGTGTGTGTGTGTTGTGTTGGTGTTTGATTGCTGGGATGTCTGTACACGTACTGCCACATTCATACACATTAACAAACAGTAATACACCGACACACAGTCATTTACACACTAACACATACAGACACACACACTGACTTAGACAGACACCGGCACATACAAACACAGATACACACCACCATATACACACTTGCAGATATACACTGACATACAGATACATACACACAGGCACAGAGATATACACACTGCCACAGATACATAAACTGACACCCAGATACACACACCTTGAAACACAGTGTGTATCTGAGTGTGCGTGTCAAGGTTTGTGTATCTGCCAGTGTGTGTATCTGTGCTTGTATGTGCCGTTATATAGTGGCACACAGAAACACACACTGACAGAAACACACACACACACACGTTTATATTTGCAGTCACCCTCATGTTCACTTACCTTTTTTTTTCCCCAGGAGAGTGACTTCCTTTAGTGTTGCTGGCTGAGGATGGTGTGCCTGGTCGGCAGCTGCTTAGTCCCCGCTGCTCCCTCTTATCCTCCAGCCGGCGCACTCTTTCTGGGAGGAAGTGCTGTCACTTCCTCCCAGTATCCCATGTTACAGGGGCTCGGTCGCGGTCTTAGATGGCCAGGCACCCGACTGGACCCCTGTTTAATGATACCCACTGAGTGGCCCTAAATGCTTGGGCCACCTGGCGGGCAAATCGCTGCGGAACCCCAATTTTGTTCAAGGGTTCCGCGGAACACTAATTGGGGAACGTTGCGAGGCATTGTGTGTGTGTGTGTGTGTGTGTGTGTATATATAGGGGTATAGTATGTGTATAAAGAGTGTATTTATAGGGGATATAGAGTAGTGTGTAAATAGTTTGTGTGAATGCATATGGGGTGTAGTGTATATTAAGGGGGGTATAGTGTGTTTACTGTGTCGGTGTAGTGTGTTTGTGTGTAAGTGCAGGGGGTGTCGTGCTTTGCATGCTACTTTACGAACAAGATTGAACAACTAGGGAAATATTGTCCTCTTCAACCTATCGTTCCTGTAAGTTTTTTTGTAATTGTCTTATTTATTGTTAAATCTCCCCCTTTTTATAAAATTGTAAAGCGCTACGGAATCTGTTGGCGCTATATAAATGCCAGTAATAATAATAATAATAGTATGCATATAGGGGTATAGAGGGTGTGTAGTGTGTTTGTGTGTGTTAGTGCTGGGGCTGTAGTATGTATATAGGGGTATACAGTGTGTATGGTGTGTTTGTGTAAATATGTGAAGGGGTGTGTGTATATAAGGGCTTAAATAATTTAATAATAAATAAAATATTTACTTCCCTTTGGTCCAGTGAGAGGGGGTACGCCGGGGCCGGTTATTTAGTCTGTACCTCCGCAGGGTACAGACTATGTTTCTGCGTCTAGCGAGTGCTGGTATTTTTTCAAAGCATTGCCGCGAGTTACCGTGGCAACGCTCTAATAAAATCGGTGCTGGTAAGAAGACAGAGGATGCATTCCCTGAATGCCAAGTGTGTGTCCGGTACACCGGCTAACTGCCTAATCCCTCTTAGGGCTAGTGCTGCCCATGACCATCACGGCCCACCAGCCATTTTCCCGGTTTGCTCGATGGCCAGTCCGGCCTGCACTAATGAGAGGAACAGGATCTGAGTTTTCCTTGCTCTCGTTAGATTACTGGCCTCCCTCTTTTTAAATTAAGTAAAATAAAACCAGAGAAAATAACCCATCGTGACTGGTCGCCATTCAATCAAATGCTTCTTATAGAGAATTACTGGGGATAGAGGTCACCTATGTTGCAATTACTACTTTCAGCCAATGCTGTGCTACTGAATCCAATTCTTCTATAGTAAAGCAATGGTTGAAGGGCTTCTCTATGAAAGCAGTGTATGCATTTGGTGCTCTCATGCTGTGCACATTGACACTAAATGCAAAGCTCTTCTGTTTTCATTGGACAAATATAAACAAGGGATCGACTGATTATCGGTTTTACCGATATAATCGGCCGCGATATTCTGTATTTTCGGCAATATCGGTATCGGCCAATATAGATACCGATATTGCCGATAATACCTCCTAGGACCACCAGGCTTATTACAAGCCCGGTGGTACTGGGGGGGTGGGGAGGGGAGGGGTGGCAGCAATCTCTTACTTACCTTTCCTGCAGCTCCTCCAGCTCCCCAGTGTAAATCTCGCGAGACCCGCGGCCGTCAGAGCTTTGCCACGGGTTACCATGGCAACGCTCCGCGAGATTTACACTGGGAGCTGGAGGAGCTGCAGGAAGGGTAAGTAAACGCTACCTGCAGGCCCCTCCACTGCTCAGCCAATGCCACTGGACCACCAGGGACTGTCATAGCAGGGAGGGGGGACAAAAACAATAATAAAACATAAATATTAAAAATAAACATAAATATTACAAAGTAAAATAAAACAAATCACCCCCCCCCCCATTTTACACAAATCACATCCCTTCAGGAAAACACACACTCTGCATTATATACACACTGTGTATGTAGTGTGTATAATGCACACACTACACACTGCATTATATATACACACGCATACACACACACTACAATATATATATATATACACACTATTCGTTATTTACACACACTATACGACACACTGCATTCACTATATGCACACTACACACACTGCATTCACTATACACACACTGCGTTTGCTATACACACTACACTCACTTTAAGCACACTACACACACACACACACACACACTGCATTCCCTTTACATACCACAAACACACACACTCTGCATTCATTATATACACACTACACAAACAGTCACTGCATTAAATATACACACTGCATTAACTATACATACACACACTGCACAAATACACACAGCTCCTCTGTCTAAACACACTGCATCCAGTGCATGTGGCTTGTATATTTTGTGCATTTACCTTTAGAAATAGTTTTTTTTTTTTTTTCAAAATGGTAAAGGCACAGAATATCGGCAAGTTATCGGCTATCGGCCTGAAAGTTAACAGAGTATCAGTATCGGCTCTAAAAAAATCAATATCGGTCGATCCCTAATATAAACAGTGCTGTTTCTCACAAATAGCAATGTTTACTTAGTCCTGTAAAAAGTAACAGTATCTATGCACCAAATCCACTACATTAAAAGCACACTGTGTACACCAAAACCACCCAAATATCATTGAAGGTTAAAGCACCGTGGTCAGTTTGTAGATTTCCTAAAGACAGAATCTTTATCAGAGATGCAGGCACTGTTATACTGATTATTTTAAATAAAGCACACCCATCAGGGCTGAATTTCCACTTGCCCATGCATACTGAACTGTTCTAGCTAATCTTTACTGCAACCATATATGTAATTAAGTTTTGATTTATTTGGATCAGAGCACTTGGATTTCCCCATCTCTCTATTTAGCTAGGATAGTAAACACAGCAAAAGCAAAAACTAACAGTGCAAGTGTTGCTTGCATTTACAGTCCTTACTGTGAATGTGCCGTTGAATGGAGACAATAGGAAGATTCCAGTTTTTCATTTTTAGCCTGTGTTCAACATCATCCAGAATGTTTATACAGGAGGTTGTTTATCTAAAAGCAAGCAAGGTAGTTAAATTGCTGTAGTTGCTGTGACTACTGGTTTTTATTTAGGCAAGGTAAATATTTGCATACGAAATGATTTTGCCTTTGTACCAGGCTCTCAATCCGTTGGATGCCTTCTTTAGAAAAATATACCACTTAATGAAAATAAAATGTAAATTAATTCAAACCTTCTTTCGAAATGCAGCTGAAGACAGTTGGCTGCAAGAGTGTGTGTTTGTACTTGCTGAATCTGTCTAAACATACATTAAGCATTACATCTCTTAAGCTCTGCTTGTAGGCTTTCTTTTTTTTCTGCCAAAGATTTACATTGTTGGAAAATAATTTTCAGGATTGACATTTTTATTACTAAAATTACTCAGTGATTTTAAATCTATTTCAACACTCTTCATTGCGGACTGTCTTAAAGAAATCGTTGACGTGAGATAGGTGTTTTTAAGTTGATTCTTATAAAAAAAAATACATATTTAGGATTGCATTTAACCCTTTTACAGCCCTGAATTCAATGTATTTGTGACAAACTATAAAGGAACATTACAAGCACAATAATTGCTACAGCCTTCTGTAGTGGTTATGGTGCCAGGTTTATGCCAGTGCTCCCTTGCCTCCCAGTGTAAGTAGTCAGACTTTTTAAGAATGGTTTGGTTTGACAATTTACTTTGGGTCCAATGACCTCCTGCTGCAGTCTCTATTGCAACTTTAAGCTCTTGACTGACTAAGCTCTGGGATACTGGGGGAGCACCCAGAAGACCTCTGCCAAGAAGCCAGTTCTTCACTGCAGGGCTAATCTCAGTTGGCTAACTGAAACTCATTGCAGGAGTCTCCTGTTTCAGAGGAGGTGGTAGCGGGTGCTTAGTGGACCACAGGTATGTTGTCAAACCGCTCACTGCTTTATATAATAAAATATATACTTTTACTCTCCTACCTTGAAGAACTTACAGGAAATGTTTTAATGTGACAAAACAGATTAATTATGTTTGTAGGAAATCTTTCTCAAATATTTCTTTAACCCCTTAAGGATACATGACATGTGTAACATGTCATGATTCCCTTTTATTCCAGAAGTTTGGTCCTTGAGGGGTTAAAAGATTAACTTACATCACATAAGACTTAAACCTATCAAACATTTCTTCCCTTTTAGGTACAATTGGATTTTTTTCTTGCTATTGGTTTGTGAAGAAGATTTACAGTGTCGTAAAAGTGGATTAAACAAGTTTGCAAGAATACAGTGGAACAGATATGGATCTTACAGGACTTTTTTTGTGTGACAATTTCTAATTTTGTTTTGAAGATGTGAAAACACAACTGTTCGTATGGCACAAAAAAATAGACTTGACATCTGCCCGAGTTGAGCACTTTTGAAAACTGTGTTTACAGCAAGCATCCTATCATCTTGTCTGTGTGTGTGTGTTTTTTTTTTTTTTTTTAAACATGTTTTTTGTTTTAACTGTAAATTAGATTTGTTACACAATGACTGTTTCCAATTTGCCCATGACTAGTGAATTTAATCATGAATGTCTTATCCTACTGTATGATGTCACATTGTGCTGTGATGGCAAAAGGTACGCTATAAACATCAAATACAGTTAGAAATGTACTGCTAATAATCAAAGTTGTAATGTGCCTTTCAAATCATAAGTAAGAGATTTATTTGTGAAAAAAGAGCAAATTATTTTCCTATTTGTTACTTTCTGTATTCGAAAGAACAGTTGTAATTTTCTTTTATTTAAAGCGATTGTCCATTTTTAATTTTGTTCCTTTAACATATTACATAATGCAAGTGTTAACAAACTGCACAACATTGGGAGATCTGTTTTTTACTGTCCATATTAGAAGCTATGTACATAAAGTAGATGAGATGTGTTTGCTTTCTGACATCCTCTTGCTGCATCCTTACATTGTAAACTGTTTATTACTGGGGGGCTCAATATTTTATAGAAATAAAATACAAACTACTTTCTACAGACAAAAACGCATGGCATTCATTTGTAGGCCTACCTATGACTTATCTGGCAAACAACTTGAGACTGGTACAGTAATCCGGTGTGGAGCCCAGTCACTCTAGCTCATGTTTGTCAAGCTGAATAATGACCTATTTGTTAAAATATGACTAGTCTTGTGTGTAGAATAGGTGCACCACTTCTGCAACAGAGGTGAATGGTTGTAATTTGGAATTCACTGTCCTATGGGTGGAAATGCATTTTGGTAAGCCTATTGTCCAGTCCTATTTCCAATGTCAGTCTTATATCTATTTGTGGACCGACCAAATCAAACTGATTACCCATCCGAAGAGCATAGGGTGATCTATAATAATCATATGTCTTACTCGAGCTGTGAAATCTGCTAAAGATAGACTCTGCATCTTAGTCTCAACATTGGTTATATGACCAACTTTCAGCCCCTTATGTAAAAATCAATTTTTTTTGTGAATGTAGTTCCATATGCAATCCAGATATAAATTAAGATTTTGCTGGATCAATACAAAATATATTAACATCTATAATGAATTTATAATTGCAGTACTCGTGAAAATATAATTTAATAACTGATAAAAACATCTAGCATACACACTTTGCTTATTTTAAAGCTGTAATTTTGAGGATGTGATCACAAGAATGTATATTATTTCTTTCTACAAATTAGGCTGGGAATAGTTTTTTTGTTTTTTTTGTTGAAGGTTGCTTAAAATATCAGAATTTTCTGTGAACAATTTAAAGAAAATTAAAAATGTAGTACTAATAAGCCTTCTGCCATGGTCTTTGCATTAAGACACGTGATTGGGATTCAAAACTCAATTGGTACAAAATAAAAATGATTCTATACGTACAGATTACGGCCACAGTCTCCCCACCTCAGGCAGTTGTCATGGATACATTGAACCTACATTCACAATCTGTCCTGAGCAAACCGTTTAGAGCGTTGCGTTTTCCTACAATTAATGGGCCAGCTCAGCTTTGCTTGAGATTTAATGACTAACTCATTATCAAAAGAACGATTTAATGCCATCTAATAACCATTCCTAGAAATCAGGTGTTCAGCTTCACTTTACCAAAAAGGCTTACTGGAACTCAGAAAATAGAATGACAATCTAATGTTCGCTACAACACCTTTTCTTCATATTGCTATGCAATTGGTTATGATATATCTATCTTCCGTGAACTGAACAGTGAAATTTAAAGAATCCTTGTTTATTTTAAATTTAACGAGTATGGTGAGGTGAGGTGAGGGCAAAGCATTCTTGATTATACCCTTTAGAGTAGTTTATTTGCATTCCTTAATTATATTTAGCTATTGGGTAATTTTCACTGAACATATATTGAAAACCAAAATAGAGTAGGTGTTTATTTAGATTAAATATAACTCCTTTTTTTTAAATGAAACATGCAAACACATCTGTGATTTGTGCATGTTGTCAGTCAACTTGTATAAAATTAAATTAAAAAAAATAAATTGTATGTAATATATTTGAACTGTGGGAACGCTACTCAATATGTAAAACAATCAAAATTATATTTATTTATAAAGCACCAACAAATTCCGCAGTGCTGTACAAAGTGCAGACTAACAGACATGTAATTGTAACCAGATGAGTTGGACACACAAGAACAAAGGGATTGAGGGCCCTGCTCAGTGAGCTTACATGCTAGAGGGAGTGGGGTATAGTAACACAAAAGGTAAGGGTAGGGTAGAAAAGTAGGTTGCTACGATCGTATGCTGGGTGACTGTTTTTAATGTTAAATTAAAAAAAAAAAAATGTATGTGACATCAGCAGCCAATCTATTTATGTTTGATTTGTATCTTCCAATTCACTGTTCCAGTCAACTGTTAATATTCTGTATCCAGTAATAGGGTAGGGCTGCCAACTTTTGGACTTGGGCAAGTACGATTAAATGGTGGATCAATTAGTTCGTGTGTGAATGAAAAGGTATTTGAGTCGGACAAATTGGCTCCAACAAATTTTTGCGCAAGTCTACTGTTGCCTTCCATGTAGCATACAGCACCGGTTTCCAATTTCTAATTCTTATAGCTCCATAAATGCCATCAAATACCGATGGCTTACATCACATCTTGAGCCAAGCCTTACCTCCCAATGAAATATCCAATAAGATAACAAGGTCAGCGCTCATTACATATTGGTAAACATTTACAATATTTGTTACATGTTCTAAAATGTAACAGAGAAAAGCAACAGTATTTCAATTCAAACAGTGTAGCAGACAGGTCTGACCACACACAAGACAGACACATTGAATCATGTCGTATGTATATCATAGTTTGTCAAGCTACTCTTGAAAAAGAATAGAGGTGGGTTGCTATTGGGCACATAAACACATATAATTCTGGTAGAAGACAGACAATACCTCCCCAGATACACTGTTCCTGCCACAACCTACTATACTGAATAGAACAGGTAACAATTCCACATAAACATAAGATTCTATGTGTATCCTGGCTTTCCTATAAATCAATGTGTAGTGTTGTAGTCCACATACAAATACATATATGTAACTAGGAACACACAGGTATAGGTTGTATGCTGACTCCTGACCAACAGATGTTTATTTGGGCAAGGCATGTAGCTTTAAACAAGTTAAGAAGTGTGGCAAGGAGAGTGGACAGAGATGGGCTTTTATAACAAAAATAAAAGGAAAAAATGTTAACGTAGAACCGATAGGGAGGGGTCAAAGGGATTGCAAGAGGTAGGGCTCACAGCACTGCCTGTAAATGTAGAAGCTGATTTATGTCGATCGCCAGCAGGCAGAGCGTCCCGACAACAGAGTTACTTTTTGCACAGAATTAATAGACTTAACCTAGATACGTGCAATGGTGAGATTCCAAGCACTTGTTAGATCCCGATATGGTAGCTGGTACTTCCCAAACCAGAGTTTCTTCTCTCCCTCCGTAACTGGGTTTAGGACAGGGAAGCAGCACCTTCTGCTTGTCCTCAAATTCATATGGTGATGGGTCAATATGCAAAATATAAGGACAGAAAACAGAATATAATCTAGTATTTTCTATCGGTGGTGAAGTAATGTTCAGTTCCAGATATCTGCACCTGGGCAGTATGATCCATGCCTGTGGATATGTCGCTCAGCTTGGCTCCTTGGAGATGTTGGGTCAAGGGTCAGTTGCTTTGTTGAGCGTTCACAGGTAATTTCCCTCGAAATTGAAGTGTTACAGATATTCACCAATTACATAAAATAAGAATAAAAACAGATATTAGTGCTCTCTGTTTTGTCGGTGTAAAAGCAAAATAAAAGCAGGTATACTCATATAAGGAGCAAAAAAAATTTTTTGTTCAATCCTTTGTAGAGTAGGTGGTTTGTGGTCCTATGTGGTTATTCTCATTTTAGAATGACACACATGGAAGGGCTGGGGGGTTGGGGATGACACACGTGGTGAGGGGGTTTGTGAATGGCAAACATTGGGGGGGTTAAGGCACATGGAGGTGCTGCAGGGAAATGAGATGCTAGGAAGGAATGACATACATAAATTACATAATTAAGTTTTAGTCTGGCTAAAATAATTTTTTTTTATTACTGAGTAACCGATAAACGTTCACTTTAAAAAAAAAAAAAAAATCTGTGTGCACAGGGATTCAATTAAATTTACTGCACTATAGCCAGGTACATGATTAACATTCACAGTGCCATGAGAAGAATGTGGCTCACGTTTGTCTGTGCTTGTATTTATATATTATATGTAATTGTGTTCTTAAGGGACATTTTGTGCTCCTTTTCATGAAGCAAGAATATGCTTTGTTTTAGAATTAGAGTCCGCACTTTGTAATTATGTTTGCCAATTCCCTAGTTGATAATATGACCCATTATGTTGCCCATTTTCAGATCAGAGAATACACAGTTTAATCTGAGAGCTAATGCTCGGGGAGAAGTGAAAGGAGCAGATGTGATAGTTTGACTATCAGAACTGCAGTTGATAAAAATCCGGCTCCATTTCCTGACATATTTATCATTATCTCTAAATAGCAAACTGACATTTACACTGTATTAATCACACACCCGCCCACAGGTTTTTTTTTTAAAATAGTAAATAGATTTGAAATAGATCTTAATGAGAAAAAAAAACAAACACTGGTGATACAGTGGTGAGCTCTTCTGGTCTGCATCTTTGCTGGGTGCAGGTCTGGTATGTTCTTGTTGTTGAGTTTCATTTTTTTTAGTGTCATAGCCTTGCCGCAGATTAACTTGGCAATGCTTCAGTATAATCAGTGATAGTGCCGAGCTCACAAGAATGACATGTGAGGTCAGCTCTGACAAAGGTGCAGACCAGAAGGTTTTTGGGCCCCCTGTGCAGTGGGTGCATTAGGCTTGTGTAGGAGATCTTTGATCTCCCTCACTGAACCAATGAAGAGGCACAGCGACTTCTGCACGGGCCAGTTGGGGCATACCTTTAGTTGGGCAATCCCTATTGCTATCAGCTCATCTGGTGGAATTACCCAGTGCAGTCCGCCCCCCTCGCATACTCCTAGTGATCCAAATGATATTGGTAGAATGTTCTTTTAAACCAAATCCCACATTAGAGCAGGGATAATGGCCTACATACACACAATGTGATTTTATAAAATATCCCATTCTAATTCCACAATGATACACTGAATTATTTTATGGACCCATAGGAGATCTCAAAGTGCCAGCCTCCTAAATACTTTAATGAGGCCCTGGGCATCTCATTCTGGAATAGAGGGATATGCCCAAGCATCTAGCATTCCTTTTTTGCTGGTGACCTGAATTGCTGTTGGCCTAGTCCACATCAGGACAGCAATCATGACTTTATTTGCTGTGGTGATGAATCAATGCCATCTGGGCCCTGGGGAACAGTGTTTTCCCACTCTGTGAGCTCATGTTGGCATCATTAGTAAAGTTCCAGACTTCCAGCATTCAGCAGACATGTACCAAAATATCAGCTGACTGGAGCACATAGGGCAGGGATGCAGCATCCTTGGGGAGAGGGATGTGGGAGGGGTGGAGTGCATATTATGTGCTTGTAACTGTGAATGAAAGTGTGTGTGTGTGTGTTTCTAGCAAAGTGTGTCTGTGTGTATGACATTAATGGTTTGTGTGTAGAGGCACATATCTGACAGTATGGATCTGTCACCCCCATGGAAGACAATGACTTGGCCAATGAACTAAATGTAAACTGACTTTAATAAAGCCAGTGTGTGGACGAAACATCACCTATTTATGTGACACCATAAATAAAGGATCACCTTCTTGAGATTGGGACTGTGCTGGACCCCTTTTTCTA